TATATATATGTACACTCGAACCTCGTTAGCCTGAATTCGCTTAAAGTAAAAGAATATCTTTTAAGATGGACTTGAATTTCATTACCCATGGGAAAAAAAATTTACTTTTAATATGAATGAAAAATTTATTTCTCCTCCGACAGGTAAGAAAACTGATCATTCGCAGTTTTATGCCTGTAAGAGTAGGTTTTTTTAATTCTTTGCTATAGAGTTGTTAATTGCAAAATTACAGCAGTCAAATGAGAAAGTTGTATGAATTGAATCCGTTGAGAGAGAGGAACGTTACAGGAAACATTGCCCTTTTGTCATCTAATATGAAAGGATTTTCACCTCATAGAAGTGCTGCAAGTGTGTGAATAAGCATATTTTCTTGAGAAATGGCCACCCATATTGATCCTTTGTTCAGCATTTATAGTTCGTGTCTTTCACTCATTCATAGTTTGTTCTAAGAAACTGATATTGCTGAATTGTTTTTCTCCAAAGGAAGACGAGTGAAGCTCTTTTTATTTCTTAAATTTCACTAGGGAATACATTGGTTTACTTGAATGCTTACAAATGCTTTTCTTTTTTTTTGTTGCAAAAAGTTGAGAAGTTCGAAGACTTTTGAAAAGTATGCGCGAACAAAAAACCAAAAAAGCATGCTATTTCCAATTATTATATTTGGAATCAATGCTCTCTAATGTATGCAATAAATCATTTTACTTTTTTTTGTTACTTTTCATTAATTTTTTATTTGCTTCAAGAGAATCAAGAAAAGACCGGAAAGAAAGTACACTTTTTTAATTTCTTCTAAGCTAGAACACTTTTTTCTTTCCTTTCTAACTTTATTTTATTTTTAAAGTAATTGGTTGTATTTATTATAAAAATATTGAATACATTAATTTAAAATTAAGTGCAAAATAAAAACAAATTATTAAAATGAAATATATATTAATTTACATATTCATAATAGAAATTTTAGATTCGAAAACACAATTAAATAATCGATAATAGAAAATGTCTGCTTTTTAAAAAAATTTCTTTCGATATTTTTTTAAATATGCAGTTATTTTCTTACAAATTGATGCTTACTATTTAATATGAAGCAAATTTCAATTCAATTCTGTATTTTAAATTTTTTTTTCTACCTTATGTTAGCGTGGACCATTTGTAAACTTTTCTGAATGCTCTGAATTCATCACGTTTTAGACTAAAAAAGTTTTTTATTTTAAATTTTCTATAACTATTTCTCTATACATATGAATCTTTTTAAACAAAATAATGAGCCCTATTTTTCTTGAAATAAGTTTCAAATGAATGTTGCATTGCAAATAATTATAAAAAAGCCCAAAATGTCCACCCTAATGCTAGCAATATATTCTGAACTTAGCATGTTTCGAGCAAAACAAATTTGCTTAAATAATTTTCTATAAATATTTTTTTGACATAATGGCTACCTACAGTCAAATTGGCACTAATTTATTTTATAGGAAACCAATTTCCAATAGAATTTCTCATCGCAAAAAAATATTAAAAATTTGCTTATATTTAAACCTTTTGTTAGTGATTTTGTCAGACTATATATGTAATCTGAATTTAGCGTAGTTTTAACTAAACAAGTTATTCTTCCTTATATGCGAATACGCAAAAAATGAATAAATAAAGAGAAAAAAAATAAGTGTCCCAATTTTTCGACCGCTTTCCAACTTAAACTAATGATAAAGGTATTTTAATTTAAAGGGATATTTTGTGAGTTTGATGCCATAATTTAATTAATTGTTAGCACTTTTTAATTAATACAGGATATGCTGTAAAGTCCTCTCTTCATAGATATCTTTAGAATCCTTGAGTTTTAGTCATCCCTTACAACCATTATGAGTGACACTTAGTACGAGAAAGTCTGATAATTTGAGCCAAATTTATTCATACTGATATCTATTTCATTTTGAGCACTTAGGTCAAAAGAAAAGAAGAAAAAAAAACGTTGATAAAAATATATTGCTAGCTTTATGTTTCAGTTAAGTACTCTTGACAACAGGAAATTTAAAAAAAATTAAAAAATGTAAAATCAATTTAAAACTTAATTAACTAAAACTTAGTAAACTAAAAATTACACTTCTGCTTTTCAAAAATGAAACGCTTCCAACAACATTTTCAATTTAATGAAAAATCATTAAGGTTACTATCATTTAGATTTCTGCTACAAAAATCATATTTCTACTTACCCAAAGAATATTCTACAACATCCAATTATGAATATACCTGTAAATATTGATTGCTTACAAGTTATATCGGATACCTGTATATAAAGAAAATTATAATTACTACCATTTACACGTAATTTGTTATATAATAAATAGAAAAAATAAATAAATGCCCATCAATAGAAGAAAAACTTTTCTTGTTCAAATTTATTATATGAACTTTTGAAATGTAAACTGATGCAGGCAATTGTTTTTCATTAAATTATCTAACTTCCTTTTATGTAATGTGTGTCACAGCGCGAGCAAACGACAGAGGAACAATTAGAAGTTATGCTTTCTTTTATGAATATAAGTGAAATTATTTTTATGAATTCACACTTAACACTAAGATAAATAAATATAATACTGACATAGATAAATATTTAGAAAATATTTTACGACAAGTATGTTAATTAATTTTATGCGCCATGTGCTAAACAAAAACCGTGTAAAAGTCCCACACCATTAACAAACACTATTTGAAGTCACAAGGAAAAGCTTTCATAATATAGTTGTTTGAATTTCAGTGTTATTGTTAACTTAAAGTTGCGTCTGATAACTCAAAATAAATGATTAAACAGGCTTGTAGAATTTTACAGAATTTTGTTTCGTAATTACAAAAGTTTTATAACTCCAAACTTTGTGTTAAAACAAGATACTATTAAAATTTTCATGTTGTTTTCCTCTTAGTATTACTTTAAAGGCACAGTTGGGTTACCCTTAATAACTTATAATTTCATCGGCACTTCAATTGTTCAATTGATTCTCAATTGGAGGTTATTGTCTCCTATCGACCGAATTCAATTGTGGAAGCGGAGGAAGAAAATTCTTAATATGCTTTTAATTATCTTCATTTAATTTTCAAAAGTTAACTGATAGATATTTACTTTGTTTGACATTATCTTTCGATAGATCTAAAATACAACGCCGCCACCTAATCTCTGTTTGAGCAGTAAAAAGTGCGGTATTTCAGATACTCTATTAATTTTTTGTGACAAAATTGCATCAATACGATTCTATAATTAACAGTACTTGAAAGATAGTTAAATAGTATACAATTGATTTTTGAAAAATGTCCCTGCTTTTGTGAGCTGAGATAGCTCAGTGGTTGAGGCACTGAACTGCGAGTGAACTGGGGTTCAGTTCTCAGTGGCAGTTTCAGGTCCATCCGCTTTCGATCAATGGATGCCAATTTGTCTGAGGAGTAGAGTCGTTGATCACGACGTTCATCCCGAAATTGAAGCCTTTGCCCATAATGGGCTGTTGCGGAGGAATGCGTTACTTTTTTATCTTTGCTTTTGTACAATTATGTTGAAAAATTTTTCAGCATCATCCAAATCAGTTTTCATTAGTTCTATAAAATTACATTTTAAAAACTCAAAACGGTGACAAATACGTAGTTTTAAATTACTTACTCAAAACTATGTATCTAGCAACTTTATTTCCTTAAAGCTTTCAGGGAAAATCCATAGAAGCTCTAAGAATTATCAAGCTCTTTTTAATGAACCAGCCCCTTTGTATACGGCCTTATTTTAAAATGTATTGTGCTATCAAATAATATTATATCATCAAAAGTTTGTTGAAATCAAAAAAATATTAAGGAAGAGTAAACCTAATGCTCAACCTAAAATCTCAGATGACGAGGCTAAGTCTAGTTGATAAAGTGTAAAAAAATAATAATAAAGAAATAAATTTTTTAAAAAAATTGGTTAAAATACATGAGAATCTACTGTAGATCATATATCAGAAGCATCATGTAAAATTACAGTGAATTAAAAATGGAAAGCTTTTATGGAAATAAAAAAACATTCCCGGGAGTCCCATTCATTTTGCAGAAAAGTAAATAAAACTACGTAATTTGCTTTTGAATGCATTTAAATTTTGCCTTTACCGGCTCTTAAATCACCAGGCGGGGACATTACAGTAAAGTGGAATCCGAGTCATTATAATTCTGACATTCTGAGAAATTGTAATCCGGTCAGACATTCAGCTCTTAGAAGGAAGAACCTAACTCCAGCCTAACCCGTGGTAGGCGGTAACTTTACCCAACATACCGGCAGAGCGGCTATTTATTACTGAAATACACTATATTGCATTGAACTATCTGAAGGAAAGTCTCCTTAGAGAAAAATGATAATTTTTTGCAATAAATAATTCGTAAATGAATTTAATATTTTGCTCATAAATTTAAAAAAGCCAAGAAAATTTTTTGAATTATAATATATGAAACTTTTATAGAATTTTTAAACGTATGCATTTTCTACACATTAAAATTTATATATTCAACTTTTACATGATTTTAAAATGTGTGAAAGTTTTAGATATACATAGAGCTTGCGGTTGCCTTTGAAATTATGCTTGTTTGAAAACGCTAAGCCAGGTGGGTTAAATGTTAAATGAATAATTTTTTTTTATTTTTATTTTTTTTATTTTTTTTTTTTTATTTATTGTAATTTAGGAAAATTAGCCTAATGAAATTACTCTGTACTCGAAGCACAAATGTGGATTACTCAAAGATTTTAATGTTAGAATCGATATTTTGAAGTACACTGGTTATGATAAAAAAATTATGAAATTAAATGCTTGAATTTTGAAATTAACTCTTATGTTTAATCATCTGTTTGCATATCGTTAAAAAAATTAATTATTTAATTTAATGTGTAAATATTACTTAAAATAATGCTTAAGAAATTTAAAACTCATTCAAAATACTCATTATTTCAACCTGCAGTGATTACATACCTACTTTTACTTAATGTAATACGTTTTTTTCTTCTTCACTTGTTTGTGTAAATTAACCAGCATAAGGCTGCTTTGCAGCTTAAAAAAGGAAGAACTACCACAAGCAACTTAAACAAAATAATTTTTTTAATTAATGTTACTGATTTGCCAGCTATACTAGCCTATTTGTCTAAAATTTTAAAACTTCGGCAGATTGAAAAGAGATATTATAAAAATAAATTAAATCTTAGAATGTTCAACTTGACACCATCTTTCATCTACGTTACATCTTATGCAAAGAATCAAAATATTAATGATATTAAGCAAGCAATGATGATTGACAATAAATATTTATAATAAATCTTTCATGAATTATCTTAACTAAAACTAAGTAAATATTAAAAAATTATACCATTTTAGAGGCGACTGGATAAAAAAGTATCGCAGCTAGATAATTGCAGGAAAGTACTATTCCAAAAATGTAGGATGGGACCAATAAAATATCTGCCTAGAACATAAAGTAATATGAACTGCATATTCCATATAACTATATTATACTCTGAACAAATTATAAGAACACACAAAAAATACTACCATATATGAACTATATTTATAATTCCTCATTTATATTTATAATATATTTATTTATTTCATTTATATTTATTATATGTTATTTTACATTTATAATTCAGGAGATGGGATCGAGTTTGGAAGTGAGGGAACAAAAAAAATTATACATTTAGAATCTTTTTTAAAACAAAATTAAAAACATATAACAAAAACTGCTAAAGACAAATTAATTTTTGTTGAAATGAAGTCAAAAAAATGTTTAATATTAAAGCATAATATTTTTAGTCGCATTAAAATTTAGAAACATCAATTCAAAAATTTCCTTTTATAATACTATTCTACTAAGCTCTTCATTTATAGGTAATAAGCGTTGAAATGGGTATTCATTTGCGTGAGATAATAAATGTTTGCTCGAGCAGTTCAGTAAAACAGGTGAAATAAAGAATTTTAAAAAAAATACCACTTCTGAGTTTATTTTCGTGAAACGATATGCAGTATATGCTAACACTGTCCACAAAAATATTTTAGTCCATACAATAATTCTTTTATAACAAGAAAAACTTTGTTTGAACTGCGAAACTGTGTTGTGAACTTAGTTTTAACTTTGCACTTGTTTGTGAAGCTTGTATTTCCTGATTTTTTTATGAACCATTGATTTATTTGTTAAAACTCCTTGTTAGATAACGCAAAGAGCATCTGTTTAAATAACATAGAAATCACGAAGTTGATTTTGTAGATGGTGAGCTTTGAGAGTGAAGAAAAACAATCTATCAAACCAGACTACATATTTTTACCGATGCTCTGTAAAAATCCATGAATGGTTTCAGATTAATTTTTTCATGAAACTAGAAACAAACTAATCGATCACTTTTTATTAGAACATTAAGCATACTGTTTTAAAATAAATGTTATCTTAATTTCAAACGTGGTGTTTTATACATTGAGAAAAAAATATGGTCAAAACTATTAGAATATGGTTAAATTTGCCGTGTTTCTGGCTCTAAAGGAACACCAAAAAGCTTGGTAATTATTGACGACGCTCTTTGGTAATGATTTTGGTTTAATCAATCATAACATATAGTGTTATAATATGTGATAAAATTTATTAAATGTGGTTTTTCATGATTTCTTAGAGCATGGCATTAAAATCACTTATCTGGTTAAATTTACTTTTCAGTTTTGTGTTTTTAAATAAATGCTTGGTAATAAGAACTGTAATTCTGAAAACTAAAATTTCCGATAAACCACTTCCATGTGAATGGAAAAATTATTTAATAATTGCTTCTAAATACCATATACTTTGGTTTTATTACCAGAATTATGGTGTTTTTTTACCAGGAGATTACCATTCAGTACGGTAATTTTTCCAGAATTTTTTTCTCCGAGTACTTATTCTTATCAAAATGCTGTGTCAAAACTTCAGCAATTTGTGTCCTCATTGTTACTTTCAAGTGTCAGTATTATTTAAAATTAATAGTTACTTTAAACATTTTAAATAACATTAACAAGTTTTTCAATAACTAATTTTATATAAATATTTTTTTCAGAGCTAGATTGATCGAATGTTTAGAATTACTTAACCAGAAATTGCACGAGACTTCAAAATAGTGACATAATTTCCCTTTTCTTTGTTGTCCATGAAATCTAAATGAATAAGTTTACATCAAAATGAACTACGCATCTTAAGCCCACAATATGAAAGGTAGAAACTATTGTTTTAGCGATGATGTCTTCGTCAATTACAATAACTTATCTACATATAACTATTTGTGATCACTGCTAAAGGTAAATTTTAGATAGCAAAAGAATTTATTGATAAAATAATTTTGTAATCAACTTTAGATAACAACAGTGGTGGAGGCAATTTAAATAAAATGAAATGTAAGAATAAAGAAAATGTGCTGAATGACAGAAACTTAATTGAGCGAAGCGACTGTGGTATATAAGTCTAAAATATACGTGTCATCGAATTAAATGTAATTGTCCAACACTCAGCAGAAGAAATAACAGAATTTAAAATAACTGGGATACTGAAAAAAGTATGGTCGAACTACCAGTATATATGGCAAATTTTGCCGTGATTTCTGGATTATGAGAATACGAAACAGTATGATAATTTTTACCATAGCGCTTTGGTAATGGCTTTTGGTAAAATTAAAAAAATATATATATGGTTTTATAGTTTTAGTTTATTCCGAGGTGTTGGTCTTCTTTTGAACGAGGAGTTTTGGATCTTTTGGAATTCGTCATGATATTTTGGTCTGTCTTTCCGAATTTTAATATTTGGAGTTTAATATTTTATTTGGAATTTTAATATTAAACTAGTAAAGCTTATATCAAGTGATTGCAAAGGGAGTGCAAAATGTTATGACTAGCGCCGAATTTAAATAATTCACTCATGTTTACCGACACGTTTATCTCGGAATTTTGTTCCGGTTTTTTGATTGAAATATTTGAGATGCCCCGAAAGTAATAAGAACCAAATGTGGGCAAATGGTGTGATTTGGGTTCACTTTTTTTTTTAAATTTCATAATGTCTACCATTGTTTTGGTAACGTTCGAATACACTTTCATTCCTGTCTTTATTTTAAATAGACTAAATTCCTATCAGTAGACAAAATATAAAAGGTGTCCAAAATGTCGTGATTTTTACCCAATTTTCTACATAATTATCCGCTTAAGAATCCGCTTAAAACGCATTCGGTTACATGAACGCGTCGTAAGGAATTTCTATATTACAATGCGAATGGTGTGACATTTTTGGTCACTTTTGGTCTAATAGAATAGTTTATTTATATTAAATTGTAATTATAGCTCTTTTACCTTTAATGGGTATAGAGGTCCATACAACCCAACTCCAATTCCAAATACAAAATAAGTGAGACTGAGCAAAATAGTTATGTGTATCCTTTTCTTTTCCTTTACTGAATTATGTCTTAGAATTTCAGTTTTCACAACAATTGAAGGTCGTGCTGGATAGTCATCAGGTACAGAAAGATCATCTATACTACTCATTTTACTTCGTTCTTAATGGCTGTTTAAAAAAAATAATATACTCAGCTTACAAGCAAATTAATGCATCTTCATAACAACTATTGTGAGTTGTGCTTCAATATTTAAAAATAAATTATAATATTAGGTTTGTAAAATAATTTTTTTCTCTATTGAAATCAAGATAGAAGTAATGTATAACAAATTGGAAATGTAAATTACATTAAATTAAAAGCCGAATTTATTTCTTTAAATGTGAAGTGAAGTTTCACTTCCAGAAAAACATACCTTATTTCATTTAGTGGTTAAATGCTAAAAAAATATAACATAAAATTTTGCATACTTACGTATTCTGAAGAATAATCTATCTAAACAAAATATACATAATAATCTAAACAAAATATTGGTTTTATAATGCATACATCAATAATAAAAAAACTGCCTTGTCGTTATTCTATAAACTCATTATTAATGCTCGAAGACAATCTTTCCTTAATCTAAGTACAGGAGATGGCAGTATTTTATAGTGTAAATTTTATTGGCCAAATCAATAATGTTTTCCTAAAAGAGTTATTTGAAAGCACCTAGTACACATTTTAGTTGATTATTGCTTGACTAAAAGTTAGAGAATAAACTCTTTTGATAGAAAAATATCACTATATAACAAATTAAATTCTCAACAATCAAAATATTATAAATTTTTTTTGCTCCTGCAGCTACTAATAAATTTCAAGAAACGTTTAAAGAAACATTCCGCATTAAGTATGTGTTATAATTTGTACTAGTAAAGTTTCTCCTTATACTTGGAATTATTAAGCATTTTAGAAGTGTTTCAAACAGTTATTTTACCAAAATTCTATCTAATGTTTTAACTACACTGTAAACAAATTTCTGATATAATTACGGTATAAAGTACTGACATTTGGAGTCCATCATCCGTAAAATCCATTTGACCGTAAAATTCGTTTTTACTGTAAAATATTATACCGTAACTTTTGCAGTAATATTTATTTAAGTAGAGGGATTTGGGTTTTTTTTCCGTAACGTCTTCCGGTAAAAATGAATTTTACAGTAAATTTTTTTTTACAGTAATATTAATTGAAAGAGACACATATAGAATATTTCTTTAAGAACGAGAATATTTCTTTATTAAAAACTTCACCTCCAGAGTGTTTAGAACTGCGCAGTTTAAGATTATAATTAAATATTTGCATCATAGAATTATAGTACGAACAGTTTTGAGTGAAGCCATACAAAAGTATTTTATTTTATTTTATTTTATAATCGTCGTTGAACAGCTGACCCAATTCTGTGTTTACTACTTTTAATGTTCAACTCCGTAGCCATGTAATTATGAAGCTAAGCTAGAACTCCTGGATCAAGCATTGAACAATCTGGCCTTCGTAGAGGACTTTTTTTCATGGAACTAACCCGCATTTGTGTTAAATGGAGAGGAAAATCACGAAAACCTCCCATGATTAGTCCAACGGCAAAGGGATTTCAACCCATGATCCGTCTACCACTGATGATATTTTACATCAGCACTGTGTTCGGTGAGAGCTGGAAACAGAATTCGTATCAATCAGCCACAGTTGGGATTCATACCTGGTTCACTTTATTGGGAGGCTCACGTTCTATACTGAATCATACTAAAAATAGATATTTTGTTGAAATGATTCAAGGACGAATAACCACAACTGCAAAATAAGACGTGTTTTCCAGAGTGACTATTTCGCCTATTAAATGACAACATTGAATATTTATTTTTAATTATATTTCATGCTTTAATATAAATTTAAATTGATTTTCAAAAAATGACCGCATAGTCCATAATCTAGGGCTCATTTTTTACGTCATGTTATACATAACATGGCATAGATGTGACACTGGTATGTCTAAACTGACGCACTGTCAACAAAAATACATTGACCGCAGTTATGACCCCGTCTACGTAATGGCCACTTCATTCCTAATCGCCAAAATGTTCAACTATTATAGTGATATTAAAAAATATTAATGGATTTTCGTATTGCAAAAAAAGGAGATCTTACTTTTGGAATTAGGCAGATTTAGAAAATTGTGCTAGAAAGAAAATCTTCCACCTGAAAATTTCTTATTGTTCGAGTATATTATAGTACTAGGGTTCGGTTCTAGGGTATAGTTCTAGTACTAGGGTATAGTTCGAGTATATTATAGTATAATTCGAGTTCGATTAAAATACAGAAAAACACTTTTGACAAATCATGAAATTAAGCATTAGTACTGATAAATTTCATACAGAATTTAATATCCTATGAAGAAAAATTACACATTTAAATTGCACATTATTCCATTCATTTTAAAAAACCTTTAATTTATCAACTTAAGTAGACGCAACGCTTATGTTACTTTAAGGCTTTGGAAAACATTGTTTCATGCCAGTATCTCTATGATTTGTAATATTTAAAACATCCTTATTCAACTAAGAAAAATATTTCGATTTATAAAATATTTATGATCATATAAATTTTTAAACTTTCTTTACACTTTCCTTAGTTTCAATAAAAATTAAAGGTGTCTATCTCTACAAAACATTAAAAATATGATTTAAAATTTTTTGATACCTATGATTTAAAATTGGTTCCTTTAATTCGATCAATGATTCCCATCATAATTGTTTTATAGTTCATGTGAAAAAGTTTAAGATGATATTAAAGAATGATGAAAAAATTTACTTAGAGGAAAAAAGAAAGAAAATAAAATTAAAATTGTAAACTAAATAAACGTTATTCAGTACGGTATGAAAAACAAGACTTTTTTCATCCACATTTAACTCAAATTTTTAGATATTTTGAGATACGTATAAGTAAAAAAGATACGCAAAAATAGAAATAAAAACGAAGTAATAATTATTGGTTGAAATAGATATTGAAAAATTTGACAGATAACAACGGTAAGTAATAAATAATGGTAGATAATGTTAAGTAATAGACACTAATAAGTAATAAATGTTGAAAGCTACCTTTTTTATTATTACAATATTTACTTAAAGAAGATTTCAAAAAGATAAAAGATACTTACACTGAAAAAAAAAATAATATTTCAATTGTCAGCTAAATAAGCGTTCCGTAAAACCAGAAAAACAAGAACACTTTTTTTTCGTACACATTACACTCATTTTCCGGGTATTGGAAACAGTAAACAAAGTAATTTCTATAAAAATATTACCTAGATACCCAATCAAAAAGATTATAACGATCAAATTTGATATCACTTGATCTGTTTTTATCACCTCTTTGTTCTAATCTCAAGCATGGTTTTTGATTATTGCTATGTCACTTTCCCTACTGATAGATAGCACTAGAGTTATGAATACACATTCATAACGTCATTTATTAGTGCATTTGATAATGAATTAATTACGTCGTTAAAATTTTAAAATTTGCGGAGCCTTTTGCTTCTGAATCCTTTTCACAAATTTGTATTTACTCCTAAAATATCAAGTGATATTCTGCAAACGTCAGATTGCTAATGACTGTTTTCCCCTGAATAAAAACTATAAATAAATTTTACTAACTTTAAACAGTCTTAAAACTGATTTGAACATGCTTACGTTTCAAATTTTTTGCTGTCTTAGTGAGAAACACATCAAGTTCAACTATATTATTGTGCAAGGGGAGGAAAATTCTGGTAAAATTACAGTATTTTAAGGTAATGGCAGTTCTGGTTAAAAAAAAAAATTCTGCCATAATTCTGCTATTAAAAACCAAAATATACGATATTTAAGTCATTCAATTAGTAATTTTTCTTCATGTGGTGACTGCTTACCGAAAATTATAGTTTTCAAAATTATAGTTCTTATTGCCACACATTTAGCAAAAAATTCAACACTGAAAAATAAATTTAACCGAAAATGGTTTTAATGCCATGCTTTAAGGTATAATGGTGGGTATAATTTTATCACATAATAAAAAACCATATTTTATTGTTAATTTCACCAAAGTGCTTTTGTGAAATTGACCGAGCAGTTTTGTATTCCAATATAGTCAGCAACACAGTAAAATTTTACCATATTCTGGTAGTTCAGACCATACTTTTTTTTCATTCTGTATTCAAATTCAGAGGACTTAATTTCCACTTTAACATGATTACTTAGCACTTTATCAAAGCTGCAGCAAATTTGAAAGATGTTATAGATCAAAACGGTCCAAAATTTTTAAAGCGTATGATATAAAAAATTGTTTTTCAATAACTTTATAGTTGAATATAACAAAAATAAGCACTAGAGACAGATTTTTAAAATATAATTTTGAACAGAACTTATTAATAACGGAGCATTTTTGAAGTTATTCTAATCATAATAAATAGAAATTTCAGCTGATTATTATTAGGGTTATTGAACTTCAGAAAAAAAAACTAATGTGTTTAAATTATAGAAATTGAAACGGTTTATGAAATTGTTTTTAAAAAAATATAATAATATTGATAAAAATGTAGAACTTTTATGTAAAAAATAACCTAATAATGTTTTTCGAAAATTCGTCGGGTAACTTTAATCTGCAATTGTTGATAATTTTCCTTAACAAATTTCAAAAAAAAAAAAAAAATGTTTCAAGCATTTATTTTTAGTATAAAGCACAAAATTATGCAATCACTTTTTTTTATTAAAGAAATTTCAATGTCTGTAGTTAATCAAAATCTCCAGAGACAGCTTATGTCTCCAGTCACATGGGTTCGCAATCTCACGGCTAGCCATCTACTGCTGGCTGTTTATGGAGTGGAGTAGAGACTGCGGTCAATAATATCAGCGCGGAATGACTAGCAAATGAACACATTGCAAATGAGAAATGTTATCACCTCCTCAGTACTTGCCCGATCTGTCCTCCTTGACCTACACTTTGTTTGACTAGATAAAAGACACACCCAGTGACTAAGTCGTTAAATCTTTTGCAGAATGGCATTTAATTGTCCATAAGGTAGTACTCCAATACCTCAACACAATGGCTTACCCAAATTACCATCCACTCCTGGTATAGGGCGAAATTAATGGTCACCACAGGACACAAGGTTACTAAAAAATTGTTTACCAGATACCACCCGATTGCCACTTTTTTAATTGAAAATGCACATCATGATTATTTTATTTATTTTTTATTAAATGGGCAATTATTATGGATATTTTACATTATGAAAATTACTTTATTCCACCCTTGTTTCTTAAGATTTTTCTTCCTTTGTGAAATTAACCTTTAAATGTTTACGATGTTTTGAGAAATGCCTTGCATTATTAACATCAACAGTTCTTTTAACTGCTTAAACTTTTTAATTTTGGAAAAAGTAGTCACATGTTTAAAAAGCTGCCATTACAAAAAAAAATGCTACAACTGGCCAATGACCTGAAGCAAAAATTTCTAATTTTACCCTGAACTTTCGGGACCTTTCGAGCAAATGACGAAGACCATCAACGTGAACGGAGATTGTACGTATATACTTCATGCATTATCAGATTTTTGTTAATAAAATGTTTGTGACCCTGGGACAGAATTTGTGTCATTCATTTCTATACGTCCTAAGTGCTAATATTTGCTGAATGCAAGTTATTAATTTAAACCAATAATTTATTTAAATCAATAATTAAACAAACTTTACTTATAAATACTGCGAATATTTCTGCTGGAATTAAATTTAAAAATTCATTTCGGACCATGAAGTTAATAAGTGCTCTAATTGATAAAACTAAAAAGAAAAAGTTTGCTAATTTATGCCAAGTATGTGAGAAAAAATAAATCCCTGACGCATTTTCTGCGTCATGCCTAAAGAGTGACCATGTATCATAATGAGTAAAAGGATGGAAATCCAATTACTAAACCAGAAGTTACCGAAGTTGTTTTTTTTTTTTTTTTTTTTTTTTTTTCCTTTTTCATTAGTCAATTAATTTTGTTGTAATCCTTGAAGCAGAAGCAAATCGCTGCAATTTATGAAGAATAATGTGTAATTAAGAATCGTAGAGAGTGTATGTATATGTAATAAAATGTTTACAAAATATTAGAAGTATTTTATTATTAAAAGACACAGTTACAAAACACCAAAATGAAAAATGACTATTGATTGTAACATAATTTGGTTTAGTGATTTGCTTAAGCAAATCAATAAACCACATTGATTCAATACGTATGGATGAAGTACACACACAAAAAATGATGAAGTGATTAAGAGGAAAACTAAAATCAAATAACTAAAAATAAAATAATTATGAGAAAAAATAATAATTCTGTGCTTATTACTTTTTGCATGAATTTTTTTTTTGAAGTAATTCATATAATTAAAAAGGGAAAATACCACAAATGATTAACATGATAGAAAAAAAAGTCAAACGTAGTTATTCAAATACAGTTTAAATTATTGTTCCCCCAGATTTTTTTTTTTTTTTGGCTTCATATGATTTTTATCAAAAATTATTTTGTTTTGACTTTTGAAACAAGACTAAATTGAATAATATCCACCATTACCTCATAAGGGTAAATTTGCTAAATCGATATGATTTACCTATTTAATACGAATTCAAGCAAATTATTCTCTAAATAAAGTGCTGAAAAATGTTAGAGCCAAAAGAAATTCAATATTTTTGTACTACATATTTGTATTTTTTACAAATTTAACAAAGTGCTGAAGATAAATTGCTTTAATTATATCCAGAGAGATATTTAATGGGAAAAATAGGAACACATCTTCGAAATTTTTTAAAAAAATTTTGTGCTTTTGTATCATTTAGAAGGAATGCAATTTTTTTCACAAATTTTCTAACAGGTTGTCTAAATAGATTTTAAAATATAAAAATTTTAAACAGAAAAAAGTATCGTTTCAAGTTTTTAATGCAAAGTGAAATATTATGATTTATTATTATGCATTATTGATTTAATTTGAAGAAAAATTATCCATGTTTAATTTGTTTTCAGTGTTGTATAGAAAAAAATATTCTGAAACTTAAATATTGAATTTGTATATCTCTTTTTTTCTTTAAAAATGTGTATATAATAGTTGTTGGTGAGAGAGAAGAGATTAACAGGTTGTTTTCTTTTTAAGTAGCAGCACTTGTCGTGTAAGCAGAGGTTGAAGGTAAATAATAGAGAAGTGAACAAAATGCATTTTAAATTTTATTTGAAATTCAATAAAAAAAATATTAATTTACTTAAAATGAAAGGAAATATTTTGGATTAATATGAGAAATAATTGGTTTTAATATTTTTCCAAATTTCCAAAAGCAGAAAAGAAATAAAAATTAAATAAAATACGAGGAATTTTTAAAAATCTTTCTAATTATGTCGAAATAAATGTTTCATTATTTGCACAAAATTTAAAAATAGAGTTTTGAAAGAAATTAAACTTTTCGTTTGGCTCCAATTTTTTCCAGCATTATATTATTTTGTAAAAGAAAAAAGAATTATTTACATAAAATACCAACCGTTGTAAAAATTTCAAAGGTAAGTAAGTATAATAAAAATTTATTTTTCAGGTCTTTCATTTATTCCATCTTACATGAATCCGAACTAAAATCTTGAACACACAAAACAAAATTCATTCATTCTCTCAGATTTTGCTTTTTAAGAAAACAGACATAAAAAGTGATAACATTTTAAATGCAAATAAAAATATTTTCTCTTAAAATCTAATTTGACTTAACTTAATACAACACTATAGCATTAGGATGTTGTTGCTTAAAACTAGACTAAAAAACATTAGAAACATATGCGGGCAAAACCATAGTAATGGATCTTGGCTGTTTTTCCTGTATCATTACAGATATTTTTGGACATTTTCAATTTATTTTTTGTTTCAATTAAGTTAGAAATGTTTCTTCTTATTCATAATTTATTAGATATTCATGAAAATTAACTTAAGAAAATTTGAACAAGTTTTGTTTAAGAATATTTTATTACATGTGGAACAGACAGCACCAATTATTTCAGTTTTGCCCTCATTTCTTCTATTTTTTTCATTCAAGGAAAAAAAAGAAGAGTTTCATAAATACCAGACATAAATAATAATTTTGTAACAAGGTGTATAAAAAAAGACAGATTTCAGAGTCTCACGCTATTTAAAAATATTTATTCCCGATAAACTTTAATATCTTTTCAACTTAGTACAAATTTTGTAAGTTATTGGATTTGTATCATGTAGCCTCAAAAAGTTTAAACCATTTCACCTTTATCGTTGAAACTATACACTAAGGGGTTGTAATTTGTGCAATATCGTCATTCATATTTTAAAAATGCATCTAGGTACAACCACACACTGCTAATAAATATATATTGATCAATTTTAAACTTAATACTAAACCTAAAATATATCATTTCTTCACGAGTAGCATTTGTACGAATTCTTCTTTCTGTGAGTTACTTAAAGTAGATAAGGGAGAAAATATACCATTGTTTGTTCAAGGTAGAATAGATCGATATCAATTCGATTAATTATAAACGTCAAACAAAAAGCAGAAATAATAAGCAGTTTCAATAAATATCTTGAACAGTTTAAAAGTAAATAGCATTTTTTAAGTTGGTTTTAAATTAAAAACCACCCAAGAACACCTTAATGAAATAAAATTACTGAAATATGTGAAAAATTTAATAATTACTAAATCTGTTTAATTGACAAACAACCTATTATACATGATTTTTCGCTTGTATTTGAAACTATTGTACATGATTTTTCACTTTATTTCAGAAATTTATTTATTTTTGTCTGCGTATCTCAGGTTGAGATTAACTGTATTAGATGGTTGTATTATTGAATTTCAATTAGTTAATTTTGTATCCTTAATCCTTGATTTTCATATTTGTAGCAATTGACAAATCAAGTCCAATGTGCTCAAAATTAAAACGCCGATTTAACGTATTTCAGGTTGAGAATTTATGTACCAGGTGGTTGTTTTATTGCGTTTTAATTAGTTCATTTTGAATCCTCGAGTTTCATAGTTGCGGCACCTGCGAAATCTATACCAATCGCTCCAAATTAAAAAGCCACCAAATGACACCTTTCTTTTTTAGAATATTTGAAGCCCTCAAAATTGACTAGAAGTACAATATACAATACAATAACTTTATGTACATTGTATGAATTGTTACAATACTGAAATTTTAATTTCTATTTTAATTTTTTGCTTAAATAACGCATTTGAAAATACTCATAAATAAGAATTCTTATAAAATTTGATTTGTGACAGGTGATCTCTTTTGTTTATTCTTTGTCTCAACTGAAGTTTGTTTTACTTTCCAGCAAACACTGACTATAGATACGCTTACAAATGTCAGTTTTTAAGAGTATAAAATATTAAAATCAGATTAAAACTAGCTTTATATTGCTAACTTTAATTATTTTTAATATTTGTTTTTTTTTTTTGTTTAAAACGGAATCCATCGGGATTAAGAATACAAAACGTTTTTAGATAACAGCGTATTTCCTTACATAATGTCACTCATTTAAAGTTAAGTGTGTCTATTTTAATACACCTTGTGGTTAAAAACAGCATTAAAATAATACTTTAATAGATATTTTTATTTGTGCCGTTTTCTGTTTGATAAACCCCAGTCTCGGTTTTTTGGCAAATCTTCACTCCTTGACAAACAGTAGAAATTGCTCTGTTTTGATTTGAAATTTTAATTGTGCGCTTATTTTTCACTAAACAAATATAAAACATCAGCAAAATGACCTGAAAATAAAATAAAGAATTAAAATTTGTACAAGTTAATTTTTAAATAAACAATAAAAATTAATTAATGAAAATTTTTTAACTTAAAATTTTCTTAAAACGATTTTTTAAAACATTAGCATCGATCAAAAAGTCGTCTGCAGTATCTTTCATTCATCTCCAAATGGTATGGAGTCTGTCTGCAACTAGTTGCATTGTATTTCTAATTAATGGCAGCAGTAATCTAGCCAAAAGCGCGGGGCCCTAGTTTTTTCAACCTATTCTGCATTGTTCAACTCTCCTCTAAAAATTTTTATAGCTTGAGTTACTATCGATTTCAAATTATAAAAACTATTTTGCATCTTGAAATCTATGGGGACTTGGTTTTTCTTTCTTTTTTAATGATTCTTCCTACAATATGCAACTGTATTAGATTCAGGTGAATGTTTTGATTTTACAGAGTAAACAATTTTTGTCGACAATTTTTTATGTCTTTTTAAGCAAATTGAAAATTTTGCTGCATACAATTATAAAAATACACATGCCTACACGCACACACTGTAAAAAAATTTAGTGTATTTTAACACCAAAAATGGTGGCAGTTAAAGATGAGTGGGCTCAGCCCGAGTCCGAGCCAGGGCACGACGCGAACTCGGGATCGTTTTTATTAAAAAAGAGTTTCAGGCACGGGTGAGCTCAGATTCATGACAAAATTTTCATAAACTTCTTTACGTCTCTTAAACAAACGTTTGATTCCCTTATTAAATACAGAAAATTTAAAATTTATAACTGTAAAAATTTCAGCGGTTTGCAATTTTCGTTCAGTGCTTTTGCTTTGTGAGAAATTGTCAAATGTCTTTGATTTAGCTTAATATTTTGATTTTCTTTTTCAATTTTTATTTTTTTCATCGTGGAGTTTCAGTTCATTCAGTTTTTCTCTTCGCTTTTTTTTTCATAGATTAGTGATAGAAAAGTTTGTAATTTACTAATTTCCTTGTTTAGGCATCAAAGACGGAGATCGCAAAATTTGGTCTTTACCAACGTGTGCCTCAGGCTTGAACCTCCAAAATCGAACCCGAGCTCATCTGTAGATCAAACACTAAAAGCTGTGATGTAATATCTCTCCAAATATAATGTTTAACAACTCAAATAATTGCGTGAATGAACACTTTATTACAGGTTGGCACCAAATTGAGCGCTCTTATACGATTTAGAGAGTGTAGTTTAAATCGTATAAGAACGCTCGATTAAAATTGAATAAGTTCACACCAAACTTCATTTAGTGTATGGTGGGGAAGCACCGTTAATTTGTTGTAAACTTTTCGCATTATAAGAGTTTTATAGATTTATTTACACCCTTTAAATTTTAAACGAATACTCGCTTTGGTGTTAACCAGTGTTAACATGAGGAAGAGCGTTCTATCACACAACTTTTTGGGTTGTTTGACATCAAATTCGGAGGGACAGTATACCACAGTTTTTACAGTGTACGCGTATATACATTTCAAGTAAAGATAATAATATGCCTCGAAATTAAGAAAACAGACGAGATAAATTTTTCTGCGCAACATAATAACAAGTCACTGAATAAGTTAAATTATCATTACCAAGGTTGATTCAAGTCCTAAAATCATCATGGAAGCATTACGATATCCAAATTGATCCAGAAGAAATCCACCTAAAGATGGTCCAACAAAGGCACTGTAAAATTGAATTTCTGATTTAAAATACTCATATAAAGCTTTCAGTAATTATCCAATATTTTATGCAATATACGCAATTATAAGCATGTAATAAGAATAACAGTCTTATATATGGAATTACTTACTTAGTAATAATAACACAATGAAGTAAAAAATTTTAAATAAATCTTAAGAATCTACACCTTTTTTATAGTTAATGTTCCTTTTTTTTTTGCTTTATATTGTTACTCATACACTGCAAAAAAATTTTAATGTATCTTAAAACTAAAAATGGTGTCAATTGCTTTACACCAAAGTGGTGTAAAACCATTAATTTAGGATACATATATACACTAAACTGCCACCATTTTTAGTATTCAATTACACAAATATTTATAATTACAGTAAAATTTTACTGAATCTTATGAGTAACTTACAATAAAATAAGTTAAGTTACTCATAAGATTCAGTAAAATTATTTTTACAAGACAATATAAAGAAAGAATCATTAATTTAGGATACACACTCCTGGCCAAATTATTAGACACACTGTAAGATTTTATGTAAAATCTTAATTATCAGGTGATACTATACAGCTTTATTGTTTTTGCGCAGCTGAAACCGGCTTGCATTTGTTTACGTCCGTGTATCAATTGGTTAACATTGTAATGCAATACGTTGAGGATAAATACAAATAGCAAATATATAAAAAATCTCCCGAATAAAAACCTATTACATGTATGTTTAATATGAAAGTATTGCATATAAACTTGTACAAAACATGTAATTATTGAAAAATTACAGTGAGCCTACTAATTTGATCTAATTATTACAATATAATAATATAATACCTGATATAATAAATGCTCTATATTTATATAATATATATCGTCTAATTTATTCAATCATCGAATTTATATTATATATCGTCTAATTAGTGCTATGGTTGTAAAACAAATAAGTACATACGTTAAAAATAGTTGAATGTTAAGACTTAGAAAAACTATATATAAATGTTTGTTTCTACTTCTGATTTTTAAGTAAATGCCCTAGATACTAAGTGCATCCATAATATTAAGGATTAAAGAAAATAAATAAAAATTACGCACTTCTTTAAAATATTTATGACATGCACTATGAATATAATATAAATAGATAGCAATATCATTTTGACAATAATAATAATATTACTAAATTTGTTTACCCAAGTGATTGAGAGGAAGCAATCATAGAAGATACCAATCCATAAGTAGCTAATCCTGGAGGCATTCCCATGTTTCTGTAATATAATAAAACTTTTCTTATCAAGATATGAATCGTATATTTATTTTTAAACTAAATAAGAATAATCTTTCTATATACGCTAGATTGATATATGCTAGATTGAAAATAGGGTTAACACAACTGAATTAACTCTTTATATTTTGCAAGGCAATTTTTTTGTAAATCTGTCATTATTAGAAAATTTATTTTGCACTCATTAGACTTTAACGAAAAGTGATTTTTAACGGGTTTGAAAACAATAAAAATTAATAGATATTCAAAAAATTTTTATCATTAGTTATTTGAAAAGGCTGTTTGAAGACAAAAATTTTCCGAAGAATGCTTTTTGGCCACATAAAACTAAACTCTCTACTTTTTCTACATAATTTTTGCCTACATACACACTATTTGATTTCAAAACCATTCTACCTATTCTTTTTCGAAATAAACTTATTTCAATTTTCTTAAATTTTGTATTAAAGCCATTTAAGCAATTTAATATTATTAAAAATCATTTTTTTACCTGGTTTTTTATTTTTATTTTTATTGAAATATTATTTAAAAATGAATAGATTTAAAATTTTAATTTTTTTTAAAAAAAATGCTATTTTTTACATTTTCTTTTAAATATTTTTTATTTTTTCAAAAATTAGGCTTGTATCATTATTTTTTTTCCCAACAAAACAAATTTATCAGAATATCACTACCTGATTCTTGTATCAAAACCAACTAGAAACCAAATATTTTTCTAATAATCAGTTTTATACACAGAAAACAAAATGTTTTTGATGATGACATTGATCTCAATGATGACATTGATCTGACATAGATCGCCAATTTTTTGTAAATATTGCTAGAATATGTAAATATTCTTAAATGAAATTCAGAATCCTGTTGAGCGTAAAATTATATATTTTTATTTAAATGCAAATACCACAAAGAAAATTAATACAAAGTTACTTACACAGTAGTTTGAAGTGATCCAGTAAAAGCACATACTAATTTTGCTCCCAAACCAAATCCAAAAATAACTAATGAAATTATGATGAAATATAGGTTTCTGAAAAAAAGTAATAATTATGATTTTTTAAATAGGAGAAAGAGGTCAAACAAAAATTTTAAGTCATTGTAAGTAAATGTAGATTTAATTACTAAAACATAAGTTATACTAAATATAAGTGACATTGGAGCGTTCATTTCGTATTCCCCCAGAAATAGTTTCCTGATGAATCTATTCTATGCACTCCCGAACATTCAGTTGTTAGCCTTCGAGATTAAAGCTCCATAATTTCATGATCAGCGGCGTAATAGTGGCAATGTGATCACCATGATGGATGAGCTGTCCTCCTGTAAAACCCACCCTATTCTAATCGGGGTTTGTTTTCTTTTTTAGAAAAAAAAATAAAAAACATCAATCGTTTCAAATATCTTAGCTAATTACTTAATTTCTTAATTGCTCTTATTTTAATCTGTTTATTATATTCTTTATAGCATTTCGTGTAGATTCACCATTGATACATCCATAAAGTATTTCGTATAGATTCACCATTGATACATCCATAAATAAAGCAACTTTGGGAGCATTATTTTGAATAGAGTATAAACAATATGTTCGCTGTTCGCAGATTTTTTAAATATAGAGAAAAAGTTACCGAGAAAGAATTTTATGATTTAAGAGTTTTCGACATGTCCGTCCTCACATGTTTGATATGTCCATAGGTTTTTAAAAGTTTTTTTTCACATTCTCTTCTCGTTAGTAGTCAAGAAAAATGGCGACGCTTGGAAAAAAGACTAGTGTTGCAATTTCTTGCGCTAAAAATATCGTTCAAACTGCACTTTAGATTTTATTATGCAAAGATTAAGCTTCGATAAAAAAAATGGGTGTTACCATTTGAAAATTGTGAAATTTGGTCACTATAACTGTTAAACCGTGAGGGTTACGCAATCGTGTTTGGCATCATTCCTGAGCTCATAGATCATAATACCTATGTACAAAATTTACAACATATATATATATATATATATATATATNCTGCTATCATTAGAGAGAGAGTTTAGCAAGCAAGAATGCCACTGTTCGAAAATTACACAAATATATATATATATATATATATATGTTTAAAAGTGATGCCACTGAATGTTAGAACCAAATGGGCATAGTAAAATTTAAAATTTTATTGGTTTAATATTTCTAATTTTTTAGATGAATCGTCAAATTCGATAACAGAGCGTTTTTAGTTGAAACACCGCTTTTGAATGTGAAAATTAATACGTAAATGATTTGAGAAGTTGTTAATTATGAATTCGATCCGATTTCGAATCTTCAAATTCCTTTTGTGGATTGAAAACTTAAAATGCAAAATTAAAGAGTTTATTACCAATTTATATGCTTCTTCTAGATGAACAAGAAACTATAATCTGGGCTGATAAGTAATTTTTACATATGTTTGCTACAACAAGTAAGTCGTACTTACGGTTCAACATTAATGAATGGTGCCGGACCAATTAAAAAGAGTGACACTATTGTTAGACTGCAACCAAACAAGCTTAAAACATGGAAATTTCCCTGTAAAAATAATAAAACTCATAAGACAACTAAAGGAAAGCATTATTAATTTAATAAAATTATATAAAATGATTCCATGTATGAAAAGTAAAATAATGCGAATGCAAAATTAATCAGCATGCTTTACTTGAAAATAATAACTTTACTACCGTAACCTTTACAAATTGAATAAAAAAATAAAAATTATTCAATTTTCACATGGTTCAGAATAATGTTAGAAGATACAGTAAGAAACAGATTTTCAGATTTATTTACTTATCCATGGTCTTATAGAAGAAAAGAAAACGTACATGTGATGCTATACTAAATACATTTTTATAATACTATCATTTATATTATATTATGCCTATAAGAGAATCAGTCCTAGTAAAAATATGTTCCATTACGCTTCCTATGCGGGGGGAATATTTTGTATGCGTGTGATTTTCTTCCAAGATACACTATCCACATGAGACTCTGCCCAGAATATTTGAATCGTCCATCTATTGGCCCTTTTTTCCGTTTTGTAGATTGTAAAAACTGTGGTGTAATATCTCTTCGAATTTGATGTTAAACAATCCTTAAAGTTGTGAAAAGAAACACTTTTTTTCAGAGTTAACTCCAAATCGAGAGTGAATTGAAAGGGTGCATGCAAACTCGAAACACCGAAAATGCAAAAAGTTTACACCAAGATTTCTCGCTGTTACACCATACCTTAAATATTTTCACTTCCGAAAACTCCAATGTTGGGATGGCGAGTTGTGATTTCGTCTGTGTTAACATTTGATAACGAGTTGGCGAGTGTTTATGGCTGTCTTTAATATTGCTTTTCATCTGCAGAAACTAAAGTTTGTCGTTAAAAATATGCATTTATGATTTTTGTTGAGTAATAAGGATATTTATATTTAAATTATCAAGCGTTTGTGAACTCTATTAAAATAATTTTATAATATATGATTTATATTCGCTCCAGCTCAGTTAATCATATTTCGAATTCGTCTTAATATCAATTCATCTTAAGCTCATTTTATCTTAAGAATTGGTGCTTGTATGAAACCTAAATTATTGATTCTTATTTTACATCGTATTGTCTCATAAAAATAAATTTACTGACTTTTAAATGCACATCCTTCTGTAGTTATAAATTTCAGTGTTACTAAATAACTAACATGATGATTGGTGGTGGTTACTTTATTCAAATTAATGTAAAAGAATAATCTTTGAGTTTCATAGCACCAGGAACTTTCCTTAGGTTTTGGTGTAAAGTAGTTGCTACCATTTTTGGTGTTCAGATTTACGAAAATTTTTACAGTGTACATTTTAAACATCTTTTACACCAAATAAGCAGTGTTTCAATAAATTAACAAATTCAAGTAACATTTTTTTTTACAATTTCATGGATTATTTGTAGGTATCCAAGGTATCCACGTATCCGAGGTTATAATATTCATTCTAATTAGGAATTAAAGGCATCCATTATATGAACAGAAATTCGATAACCAATCATTTTAAAAAACATAATTTTTAATAAATTAAACAGCACTCTAAAGAGGATGAATAATAAAAAAATAGTTTTCAATTCTTTAAATTGTTTAGAAGAACATTGTAGTAGAAGGTTTTTTAGCACTTAAAATTAGAATGCTCTCGAATCTTATAAAGAGATTTCTGTATTTTCATTAAAATTTCTTTCAACCATGAAAATCCAACGTCTAAACTGAAGAAATATTTCAACAAGATTTTATACAAAGATTTCAAAGAATGATTATTTTCATTCAAAAAATATTGCACTACTTTAAAAAGATTATCGCAATATTAATAGCTTACCCATTTATCACAAATCCATCCCCACAATGGGGCACTCATGGCATACACAGTTCCAGCAAGAGCAAATAACATACCAAGAAATAAACCAGATAGATCGAACTAGAAGATATAAACAGATATTAAGAAGCATAAAAGTTTCTTATGGTAATAAAAGATAAATGCCAACTTTAAAATTCAAAAACCATATTCATATATTCAAAAGTCATATTATAGTCAATTCTTTTGTTACATTAGTTGAAACATTATACAAGTTTCGAAGTCAGTTTAGAGCTTAATTTTCAGTGTACAATAATAGACGGACAAAATGGCACTGAAAAATATTACAATTGATAAGTATGAAGTTACTTAAAAATATACGTTATTAACTACTGTAATATATTATTTGCGAATTTTAAAGTTGGCTTTTTATCTTTTATTATAACAAATTTTGAATGAATGAAAGGCATAATATTTTTAAATGTATATAACTTTTTTAGAATCTTGTATTTGCACTTTCATCGTTTTTTATTTTTTAGGGTTTATTTTTAAATTTCAAATAATGGTAGTATAGATATACACGTTAAAATCAAATATTGGAGCATTTAGTGCACAATAATAGATAGAGAAAATGGCAAAGACAAACACAACAAATGAGAGATATGAAGTAAATAAAAAATATATTTTATTAACTGCTACAATATATTATTTGTGAATTTTGTCATTGGCTTTTATATATTATTATTACATACATTTAATAAAGAAAGCAATAAAATTTCAAAACCGTACATAACTTTTCAGAATCTACTTTGTATTTGAACTTTTATCTTTTTTGATTTTTTTTTAAGGTTTATTTTTTAAATTTTAAGTAATAGTTGTATAGATTTATATAGTAAAATCAAACATTGCAGCATCATCATCAGTGCATAATAATTTATAGAAAAAATTTCCATTAAGAATATAACATGTGAGAGGCATGTAGTAAATAAAAAATCTTCTTTATTAACTACTGTAGTTTATTATTTAAGATTGTAATTTCGCAACTTAAAATATCGTCTGCACTAGTTAATTAGCATATTTGAGGTCACCCCTTCGAACCCTTAAGATTGAGCCCAAGAATGTAAAGATCCGATCATTAGATCAAAAGCCATTCAGGGTGTGCAAACATTGGAGGATTTAGTACACAATAATAGATTGAAGAAAATGGCAATGAAAAACGTAACAAATGAGAAGTATGAAGTAAATAAAAAGTCTACCTTACTAACTATTGTAATATAATATTTGTGGATTTAAACTTTGGCTCTTATCCTTCATTATAACAGACATTGAATGAATAAAAGTCATAAAATTTCAAAATGCACATAACTTGATTTTAGAATCGTTTCTTGCTTTTTTCTGCTTGCTTAGAATCGTTTCGTTCGTTTTTATGCTTTTACCTTTTCGGATTTTTAATGACTTCTTTCAAAAAACAATTTCAAGCGATGGCAGAAAAGATTTATAATAAATTATATAGATATAGATTTATAATAAATTACTAATATATAGATTTATAATAAATTACTAATATATAGATTTATAATAAATTATTAATATATAGATTTATAATAGATTACTTATATATAGATTTATAATAAATTTCGTTCGTTTTTATGCTTTTACCTTTTCGGATTTCTTATGACTTCTTTTAAAAAACAATTTCAAGCGATGGCAGAAAAGATTTATAATAAATTATATAGATATAGATTTATAATAAATTACTAATATATAGATTTATAATAAATTATTAATATATAGATTTATAATAAATTACTTATATATAGATTTATAATAAATTTCGTTCGTTTTTATGCTTTTACCTTTTCGGATTTTTTATGACTTCCTTTGAAAAACAATTTCAAGTGATGGCAGAATAGATTTATATAGAAAAATCGAAAAAAATAATTTTCATACAATGCACGTAATAATATTTTTTCAATTTTTTTATTGCTAAAAATTAAAACTTAAATGAAGTAGGTACTATACGTTTATTTGAATAATTTAAAAAGGAGATAAATATAAAAGAATTTGTTTAGTCTGACATTATATTTTATATTGCTTTAATTTAAGCATTTGTTAGAAACCGAATAACACTATTCGCACCGTGTAATGAAGTATAACAAGACGATCACCACCATACTTAACAAAACCAAATGCTAACCATTTGTTACAAATTATATTTCTTTAATTAAATTATATTTGTGTAGCAAATAAAAAGGGAAATAAACTTTTAATGTTTCCAACATAAGAAATAAAACGTTTTAAAAGTTTTTAAAGTTTAAAACACTTAAAAAGTTTTAAATTACCGTTCGAATATGGGGCTCCAAAGCAGCTTGATTGAAGCCTATATAATTAAATGCAGTAAAAACACTAAGTGAGTAAATTAGAATTCCAGGGCTCATCCAAAACTTTAGTAGATTTCCCCGCTCCACTATTACTGTTCTTTCTGAAATTAAATGAGTATAAATTAATTTACAATAATAAAATTTGGAATCAAGTTATAGTGTGAGCGTGACAAGTTCTTGGTAAGAGATTTGAAAAACCTCTCTAAATCCAGGAAAATGAACACAAAGCAATTTTTTTTTACACGTTACGCGAATATTAATTGTTATAATTTCTTCTTTAGAGCATTTAAAGACGAAAATAATTAATAAAAATGTTGCACATTTGTCATTTTTATGCTTTTTAATTTACTTACCAATTAAAATACTAATTTAGATAATGATGATGTTTATCTTTTAACTTAAATTGCGCAAAAATAAATTTAATTATCAAAATTATTAAAACAAATTAATATATAAAATTAAACTACTTTAAACAGAATTCTGATAGTAGATCAAAACTTTAAGTACCCATAACTGTATAAGCCAAAACTACTTATCTAAAAATATTGATCGTCTGAAAATCTATTGAGATCGTAAATAAAAAAGTAGTTTAAAAAAAAAATTTTTTTTTTTCATTCATATTCCAAAATTTATCAATATTTTGTAAATTAAAGAAATTTCAATGATGATTAACTGTTTCTCTTAGATCTAAATAACTGAAAATTTGAAAAATTTGTTTGGAAGTGAGCCATGATTAGAAGATTTTACCTTTAACGCAGAAAAAGACACCGATGTTTCATGCTGCATTTCATAACCATAAATAATTAAAATGCAAAAAATAATATTTTTCACTTATTTTTACCTAAATGAATAAAAAAAGTAATGAAAAAAGTATGAAAAATAAGTTTAATAAAAATCCTGTGTCAAAAGGGCTCCTCTGCTACGTTGCATTATATTTGATCAGTGTTAAATTATTATTATTATTGAGATTTTAACTGTGTCGGATAGTTTATATGAATGCAGAAATATTCTTTAGAGTTGAATAGTAAGTCTTACCAACATCGGGAAGTATGAAAAATATGATTACAGCATCCACAAACACTATTGATCCAACAACATAAAAAGGTAGTTCATAGCCTCCAAGCTAAATACAAAACAAATTTTTTAATACGGTTAGTAAAATAGAGTTATTAAAAAGTTATTTCAAGTAAGTTTAATAAGCATAAAATGCATGAAATTTATATCAAATTGAAAATATCTAACAATACTCACATCATAAAGCGCTCCACCTAATGTGGGTCCTGTAATAAGTCCTAATCCCAAAAACATTTCTAAAACAGACTGTAAAAAGATAGTAAATAGAAAAATCTTTAAATAATGCTTTAAATTTTCATTTACTACATTAAGAGTCATATTTTTTATAATTTCTGTTTTAATAAGTTTTAATATTAAAATATTTAGTTTTTTCTTTTTAAAGTTTTTTCAACCCCACAATAATGGTTTTTTTCCAATAATATATATTCATTGTTTTAAAATACTATAATACTTATTATTTTTTTGTTTTTCAATTATATACTGTTAGACAACTATAATATTATTTAAATTTGACGCAATCTGAACACGGTGCCAAACTGATCCATATATTCCTCTGTTAGAATTTTCCGTCTAAAATTACTGTAATATTTTACCGTCAGCCGTCTGTCCATCCAACTAACCATAAAGTTTACAGTAATGAACATTTTTATCTTTACGGTTTTGAAACCGTTTACAACCAGTATGGTTAAAAAATCATGAATGCAAAACCTTACGGTTTTTTAACCATTTACAGTTAGCTTAAAACCGCAGAAAAGAAATTTCACTGAACATTGGAGGTAGGCTTTTCGTTATGAAATGCTCATTGGAGTTTTGTGGATGAGTTGTATTTTATCAAATGAACCATGAAATGTGGTTTAATTAATATATCTGAATGTTTCACTTATCGTAAGAGATGGAAAATTCTAGACCTTTTCTCATTAAGTAGCTTTATGGTGCTGCCATCTATGCGTGAATGAGAGTACTGTATTTTAAGCGTAATTTTAATATATGATGTATACTTGATAAATTAATATTTATTTAAAGTTTATAAATGATATATTTTAAATAATTATTTATACATGAAATAAACAATAGCGATAAAGAGTTCAAATATTTTAACCTATTCATGGTTCTGACGTTTTCTAGCAGAGCATATCCAATTTTTACCGTGATAATTAAATAGTATACAGGGAGAAGCATATACGAAAAGTTTTCCGGTTGTAAAAGCGCAAGACATTAAAATCTTTTCCATCTTCTAAAATTTAAACAGTTAACCAATAATTTTAGACCTAGAAAATTCAGATCATGCGTATCAATTTCGGTAAAAATCAATGTTATTGTATCAATAATTTTCTCATTAAAAAAAAATATTACTATTTTTTAGAAACTATTATATCCTTAAATGACATCATTTATATTCTTGTCTTTAAGATGGTATTCCCTACACATGACCATTTAATGAATATTTCATTGATTTTTTAGACAATAATGACATTTTGATGGCATAAGCAAAATAGCTCTAATAAAAAAATAAAATTTAAAAACATCAAGCTTTACAGGCTATATTTCGAAAAAAATTGACTTTCAATAGAAGTTAAACAGGTCTACAAAGGTTAAAGTGCAAAGGACACAATGCTTCCAATCTGGTATCACTAAAACAATTCTCCCGCTTGTTGATAACGAGACATTGTTAGTTTTCTTTTATATTTAGATTTTTCTTTAAAAAAAAAAGATTAAAAAAAACTAAACTGGCATTGAATCTTGTTTATAAAGAAACTGCTTATGAAACAGTGAACTATAACTCTTTATGTAAAACTAAATAATGGTAAAATATTTTTTAAATAATAAAAAAATTTTACGATTGTAGTACAAGAAAAATTTTAAAATAAATTTTGAAAACTTCAGATGTTTTTAACCAAAGCCGCTTTTGTTTTCTTTAATACATATGTTTTAGAAAACTTTCATACGCGTAAACATAGAGTGAAACGGTGTAAATGCTGACTCAAGTTTCACATCAACTCATCGTTCTCAAAAGTAAATGGAATTAATTTAAAAGATATCTTAGTAGAAGAGTAACCTTAGTAACTTCAAAAGACTGTATGTGAAGAATATAACATTCAAGTAAACGTATATTCTTGTACATCAAACCACGCATAATTATGTTACTTAAGAAGCTTAAAAAGTTAAAGCGAACGTAATAAAATATGAAAAGTACGATTTTCTAAGGCTCTTCGATAATAACTATTATACGTTTGTCAGGATTGTATAGTTTAATAATTTGTATTTATTTCTATGCAATTTCAATATTTTTGTGCATGAAAGCATTAAATGAAAAAAAAGTCACAATTTTAATAATGCTTTTTGTACAATAAATATTAAAAAGAACAACAAGTATTTAAGTTTTTTTAACCCATTTTACTTCTGCGAAAACTGTACATCTTGTTTCGCTACAAGTACTATTATGACGAAAGTAGTAAGTTCCTAGTGCTTTTACTAATCTGATATTATCCAGTACAGTCTGTCATTTTAGTTTTAAAGCATCGCTGTACCTAATTTCGGAACAAAATATAGATATTTATGTCATTAATGTCAGTATATTATGGTGGATGCAAACCTTGTTTATCCAGTTATTATAGTTAAACAATTAAAGGATATTGTAAGTCTATTCTACGAAGGATTGAACTGACAGCAAATACCTTCTAAGCATTCTATTCAAATAGCATTCCAATTATTAATATTCTTTTTCACAAATATTTTATTCTATTTCCAGTTGTCCTAACGATAAGCAGCCGATCACAAACAGCCGATTAAGAGATATTTAACCAACAAAAAAAACTTTATTATTTTCCAAATCAAAGAATAAGGGGTACAGCAATATTCTAAATGGATTTTATTTTATGCCGTAACATAGTAAGATAAAGTTCTCCTTTTACAGGACATAAATTTTTCATAACTTTTGGTTTCCAGACAAATCTATACTGTGACTGATATGTTTTATTCTATATGATTTAATAAGGAGCCAGTCTAAATTCCCTTTTGCTGATAAGAATACCCCTCATCAGTAATTACTAAGAGCGTTATTCAATTCGTAATCATTAAAATACATTCTGAGACTCCCCAGCAGAGAGCATTTTTATTATTCAGCACAGGCGATATTTTACTTTTTCTGAATAAACACTCATTTTATAACCGATTTCAATTTCTACCTTCTAATTATAAGGGTAACCCCAATACAATGTAAATATACGCGAATTTTATTTTGTGTTCTGAGAGATCTTAGGATACTTTGGTAACAAGGCACTGTAATAACAACTTTAAAACTAAACTTACAAACGTTGTCCCTATTCCTTCAGTAAACTGAGACGCTATTATGGTATAACATGATGTCCTTAAGGCCGCTGCCCCCATTCCTTCAACTGTTCTTATCACAAACGCCAATGCAACAAAAGTAGTAGTATCCCGAATAAGATCCAAAGTTCTAAATTTAAAAAAAAAAATTATATTTAATGTTATTTAAATATTGTAATAAAATAATATTTACTGAAGTTAAAAACTGCATTTCAATCAAACTAATTAAAATGTTGATGTGTTGTAGTTTATTCAATAGGTACTGATCAGGAGACTTTTACAAAACTCAAAACTAGATCATTTTTGAAATAAAGCCATTTTCAAGTTGGTGGGTGAGCAGAGATTACTTTTCAATATTTCAAAGCATTAGAAAAACTCAACTTTCATATTTACTAGAAATGGTAACATTAACTCAGTAATTTTTGCTGCATAATAATATATTATAAAAAAAATGGCTTTATGTTTATTTTATTCAATAGCTGAGGTTTAAAATTAGAAAACATTTCTTACACTGTATCATTTATAAGATAATTTTCTAACAGTAACGTTCTTTTTTCTTTTTTTCAAAGAATTACTTTATGCTAAATAAGGCCATTTTAGTCCTTATTTTGGTTAAGTAACATAAATGATAAATGTCAAAAGGATAAATGTGTTTTAAATCAATTTTCATGATTTATTGCATCGTATAAACAAGAAATATTGGTTAATGTAATTTCTACATTTACTGCTGAGTTTCACAATCATTTTTTTTCTTTTTTTTCGCAATAAATCGTAAATTAAAAACTCAGTTTTTAATTATTGAAACAATTTATCAAAGTAGAAAATGATAAAAAATTGCGTTATAGAAAATAGAAGAAAAAAAAGCATTGAAACATATTTTGGAAAAAAAAGAGCTCAAAACAGAATATATTTATATTGTATTTTATTATAGATGATTTCAAGAACACTGAAATTTAATACATAATAAAATGTAGATTACTCATCATAGGATCATTTATTACAAATCTAAAACGTGATTCACTGCCATGTGATTTACTGCGCGTCACGTGATTAACTGCGGGTACCATAACCTTACAGTTTTCTTCAGTGCGCAAAATAAAAAATAGAATACCTTTTGATTTAATGACGGGATTGTCACGTACTAAGATTAAATCTTAATGGTTCGAGGGAGAAAACGTAAATATGCTAATTAATTTATTTAGATTGTATTTTAAGTTACGAAATCAGACACAAAAGCGTACTTTCTCTAAATAAACTTATTGTCTCTTTTTTTTTCCTCCAGCGGATTTTGATTTTTGGCCAACAAATAATGGGGAGAGTCAAAAGTTAGATCCCTTTAGCACGAATCCTCCCATACTTCGGCAATCAATCACAATGAATCAAAATAATCTTTAAGTTATATAACTCATTTTTCAAAAAGTAATTTGATGTAAAGCTTTTTTTGTAATTATTTGTTATTTTCTATTCTTTATTTTAATAATGGTCAAAAGTTTTGAATTAAGGCATATGTAAACTGTTACATTATTTTTAACTATGTAGTTTTAAATTACAAAATCCAAAATTACTGGAATTGGTTTTAATAGTTCTCGAAAAATAAAAATTTAAAAATACGAATTTTTGAAACTTGATTACTCCGAAATAAGTCTGTTTATTTCGCTTAAATTTTGTATCTTGACAAACTAACTTACTTTAAAGTGTGGTAAAAATTTTTATACCTTACTATTCAAAAAGCTTTTAATCAATATTAAAATAAATAATAAAAAATGGTTAATAATTATATTAAATTATTCTTACGTATATTTGGGTAAACAAGTTTCTAATCTCTCAGCATTTTTTTTCCTAATTTACTTAAATAGTTCCATTTCATATTCACTTATACAGTTTAAAAAATTTCTTGTTTTTCTTTAAATGTTCCAAATACGTGAAAAGTGAAATTTACATTAATCACCGCAATTTTGGATCGTTTTCTTAGCTAAATTTACATTCAGTATATTTTTTATGTATTTTTATGTCTGATTCCGTAGATTAAAATATCTGTACAATATTAAATTTGCACATAAATTGACAAAAAACAGAATTAAACTATACATCTAATAAAAGATAATTATAAAAACTAATGCAACATACATAAAATTTAAATATATATAATTATAAACAGATGTATAGATTCCTTGGTATAAACCGGATAACTAACACAAAACAAAAGAAAAGTCTAAAATAAAATAAAGAAAGTTAATCAGTCAATAGGTAAAACTGACAGTTTGTGAATGGGTCTTTTATAAGTTCCAGTCTCAGTTTTGACACTGACCACTCTTACCTTAGCATCAGCACTAGGAAAAACTTCTTGTATACGCCCTAATTTCCACTTCAAAGGTGGAATATTGTCCTCTTTAATGAGAACTAAATCGTTAATTTTCAAATTAGGCTGTTCTCGCAACCATTTGGGGCGCTGCTGTAAGCTGGAAATATACTCGTTAACCCATCTTTTCCAAAAATTCTGGAAAAGTTTTTGAGTCAACTGCCAACGTTTTAATGGGGATATGTTTTCGCTTAGAAGGTTCTCTTCTGGTATAGAGGAAAGAGCGGTTCCCACAAGGAAATGTCCTGGGGTAAGTGCTGAAAGCTCAGCGGGATCGTCCGATACTGGACACAAAGGACGAGAGTTCAAGCAGGATTCAATTTGTGCAGTAAGAGTTAAAAACTCTTCAAGGGTCAATTTATGATCACCTATTGTTCTTTTCAAATGCGATTTTGCGGATTTCACAGCAGCTTCCCAAATTCCTCCAAAGTGAGGTGCTGAAGGTGGGTTAAAGTGCCATTTAATTTGCTCATCGGCAAAATACTGATGGATGGATTCTTCTTTTTGAAGAGATTTAACTACTCGATTAATTTCCTTATTTGCAGCAACAAAATTTGAACCACAGTCTGAAAATAATTCATTTGGTTTTCCTCTTCGCGCAACAAATCTTTTTAGAGCTGCAATAAATGATTCAGCGGTTAAATTTCCAACAACTTCGATGTGCACCGCCTTTGTCGCGAAACACACAAATATACAAATGTACATTTTAACTGATCTAACTCCACGTCCAGATCGCGGTTTCACAAAAAATGGACCTGCATAATCCAGACCAGTCTTGGAAAATACTCTAGAAGGCGTTACTCTTGAAGGTGGTAATTGAGCCATTATCTGTGTCGCGGTTTTTTCTTTTAATCGAAAGCATTTTATGCATTTCCAGATTTGCTTTTTTATAACTGATCTAGCATTTACTATCCAAAATTCTTTGCGAATAACTGATAATAGTAAAAGTGCTCCAGCATGCAAGAAGGATTCATGATAATGAATTATAATTAGATTAGTTAAGTGATGTTTTTTCGGTAGGAGAATAGGATGTTTTCTTTCATTCGATAATTGTGTATTTTCTAACCTACCGCCAACACGGATAAGGCCCTCTTCATCCAAAAACGGATTCAAGGAGAGGATCTTACTACTCGAAGAAATTGGTTTGCTATTTTTTAGCTGGTGATATTCGTTTGGAAATTCTTGTTTTTGTACTATTTTGACCAAAACGTTTCTAGCTAGTTTTATCTCATTACTAGTCAAATAACCATTTATGCGATTGTTCGGAGATTTACAGTTCATTATGAAGCGGAGACACCAAGCTATAATTCTTTTTAACTTAACGTATGCTGAAACATTGTAAATGATCGGAAAGTCAATAGGAGTTGTTTCAATCAAGCACGATGTCTTTTTGCGTTCTTCTTTGAGAGCGTCTGTTGAGAGAGGGATTTCCTCCAAATGCGATATTTCACCACTTTTCATCCAAGACGGACCCGACCACCACAAGTCTGATGAGGAAAGTTCTTGAGGATCCAAGCCACGGGAAATGAGATCTGCGGGATTGTTATGAGTAGAAATATGTCTCCACTGGTAGTTCTCAGTCAAGGTTTGGATCTTGGAGACTCGGTTTCCAACAAAGGTTTTAAGCTGGTGGGCTGGCGTTTTAATCCATGCAAGTGCGATGGTCGAGTCTGTATGCAAAATGACTTCGTCAATGTCCATTTTAAGAGAATTATAAACCTTTCTTATAAGTTGAGAAAGAAGTAAGCAAGCTGATAGTTCTAAACGTGGTATAGAAATGACTTTTATGGGTGCAACACGAGATTTGCTCGCAATAAGACGGCAAGTGCTAGATTCAGCTAGGCCTGGGCAGTACATGTAAACCACAGCTCCATACGCTAATTCCGAGGCATCAGCGTAACCCATTAAAACAGTTTTTGTAAAAAAGTCAGTTAAAATGTATCTATTAATGCGAATAGTTTCTATATGTTGCATAGATGATGCAAAATTAAGCCACTGACCTGCGATTTGTGGTGGAAGGGGATCGTCCCACGACAGTTTATGTACCCACAATTTTTGGAGAAATATCTTTGCTTTCGTGATGACAGGTTGCAAAAGGCCTAATGGGTCATACAGTCTTGCTATAAAACTCAGCACTTCACGCTTAGTGAATTTGGTGGTCATTTCTGGGATGGATACTTTAAACGTAAATTGATCTTCAATTGAATTCCACCTTACACCCAAAGTTTTGACACTCGCATCAACTTCTGATGCAAAATCATGCTCTGCTGGGTCACCTAAAGGTAAACTGTTCCTTAACTCCCTTGAATTAGAGTTCCACTTATGAAGAGACATTCCACAAGTTGCTAGAATATCGTTCAGCTGTTGTTGCACTTTCTGAGCACCTTCTAAACTTTGAGCACCTGAAACGATATCGTCCATATAAATATCTTCCAAAAGAACTAATGATGCCAGTGGAAATCGTAATTCATCTTTAGCCAACTGCTTGAGAGTTCTGATTGCGAGAAATGGAGCGCAAGCAGTTCCGTAAGTGACTGTCTTGAGTCTGAATGTTACAGGTTTTGCGTACTCTGAATCTTTCCAAACAATTCTTAGAAGATCAAGCTGCGATGGATCTATTTTGATTTGTCGAAACATCTTTTGGATGTCTGCCGTGAAAGCATATTTATGTTTACGAAATCGAGTCATGATTTCGAAAATGTCCTCGACCACGTCCCCCTTCAAAATGACATCATTCAAGCTCACACCCGTTGAGGTACTTGATGAAGCGTTGAACACAACACGTAACTTAGTGGTTGCCTTCTCTGGACGATAAACACCGTGATGTGGGAGGTAATAGGTAATTTGATTACCGGAATTGCTTTCATTATCATCATATTTTTCCATATGATTCATGTCTAAGTACTCCTGCATAAATGATTTGTATAAATCTTGCATTTCTTGATTTCTGGATAATCTTTTCCATAGTTGATTCAGACGTCGCACAGCTAAGTCCTTGGACTCTCCTAAACGCTCAACGTCCTTAACTGGCATCTCTACGATGAATCGTCCATGCTCATCTCTGCGATAAGTATTCTGAAAATGTGATTCACAATACTTTTCTTCTTCACTCTGAATTTTTATTTTATAGTCTATATCCTCTATTTTCCAGAATTTTTCTAAGCAGTCTTCGACTTCTGTTTGAGTGGTTATGAAACCGCAGTGAATTTCTGGAGTGCGGGTATTTATTGCTCCAGTTGCAATGTATCCAAAAACAGTATTGCGAAACACCAAATCACTGTTTGCAACGCGGATATCTCCAGCCTTGATAATTTCGAAAAATACCTCCGCGCCTAAAAGCATATCTATTCTTCCAGTTACCGCGAAATTAGGATCTGCTAATTGTTGCGGAATTTCTAACTTATCTACTTTGAAGGATGTAACAGGAAGAAAATCGGTAATTTTGGATACCACTAAAAAATCAAGAGTTTTCAAAAAAGAGCTATTACCATTACAAATTGTAGCTTGTATTTTTGATCTTATTGTAGTTTCGTTTCCGCCCAAACTCGAAACCCGATAATTTATTTTTTCTTGAGGTACATCTAATTTATTAGCGAAATTAGCTGTACAAATATTCGACATGCTGCCTGAATCTAATATCGCCCTACATTGAATATAAGATCCATTTAAAGGATTTAAAACCCAAATTAAAACAGTCGGAAGAAGCCCTGTTTTATTTTTCGAATTAATGCAAGATAAAGAAGCAGAAACAATTTCATTATTTTGTTGATGAATATTAAATACCGCTGCTTCGGGATTGAGGTCATGACCGTGAGAAGAAGAAGCCAAAACCGCAGAGTTGTTTATAGTTTCGCGTTCTTTATGGAGTAGTGTATTATGCTTTGAGTGGCATATGTAGCATAAATGTTTCGATTTGCAATTCAATAACTTGTGTTGACTGCTTAGACAATTTAAACACAATTTATGTTTTGATACCAGCTCACTTCTCTGATGACTATTCAATTTCAAAAAAGAATCGCACTTAAAGATAGGATGATTCATTTTACACAAAATGCATGATTGAGTTACACTTTTATTAATTAGAAATGTTTTCGTTTTTGGATTTCTCTCTTGACTTAACTTAAATCTTAAAGGAGTGGTTTTGCTAACATTTTCTAATATTTGAGCTCGTTTTTCCAAAAATGAAAATAAATCATCTAATTTAGGAACATCGTTTGAGCTAATATTTAATTCATACTGCCTTCGAGTTTCCCTATCCAATTTTTGAAGTACTATATTTAAAACAAAAATATCAGAAAGATCATTGCGATTATACTCCAAAATTTTTAATGCTCTTATATTTTTCTTTACACAATCAATTAAATTACGTAAGTCTTTAGCCGACTCATGCGTTAATTTTTCAATATCTAATATTGATTTAACGTGAGATTCTACTATTAACCTTTTGTTTTCGTATCTTTCTTCTAAAGCTGTATATAATGAAGTGAATGTATCATCTAATGTAATAAGATTTTTAGCTTCTCCGATTAAAGCTGAATTTAAATAGTGTAGTTTTTGTGCATTTGTCAACTGATTATTGGATGTAATAACATTATTGAATTGCAATTTGAAAGTACTCCATTCTTCACATTTACCCGAAAATTTCGGAAGCGGAATTTCTGGTAATTTTATGCTAACACTATTGTTTACAAAACTTGCGGGAGTTAATTTCACTTGATTAACTGATTCTAAATACGTTAAGCAATTTTTAATTTTGCACTTAGCACTGATGATTTTTTCGCTGTATTCTTCGCTAGCGCTAATTTCAGTTTCGAATTCTGCTGGAACCGAAATTAAATTTTCAATTTCAGAATTTAATGATGTCAAAATACTCTCCTTTTGACTTAATTGCTCAAATATTTCATTTAGTTCTGTTATTTCTTTAGTGTCACTTTGTATTATAGTATCTGCTTTTGTTATTAGTTTTGTAGCGCTAGTTCTGATTGTAGCGCGTTTCTTTCTACATTTCTCGATGTTATCCATTATTTATTAAATGAAATTATGCGGTAAATAAATGATGAAAATTTGCCTACCTTTCACTAATTCTATGGCTGGAGATATGCTGCGTTATTTCTGATGCGATGCGTGGTCAGTCCAATAATGAATGCGGGTTTTTTATTGTAAATTTGCGATATACTGGATCTTTATCCTCCTGATCGTTCGGACCAGTGTTTGGCCGATAGCTTGCGGGTGTATATAAAATCAAACGTGGACTGTAAACTATTTATTTTGCGGGTGCGCTGGTAGCGCTGCGGAGCGTGTATGCTCTTTTGTTGTTTCACATCAACTGGCTCTTGGCTGATAACAATGACGCCAAGAAGCCAACGGGCGTAGCAACATACCGGCTTCAACAATATCGTCTGTAGTTATTACTTTTTTTTTAAATTTAATCTCTTGTTCAATTAAAATTACATCTTAATACGTGTGAATACTTGATCACTAGGTCAGTTCTGTTTTTTATTTTTTCTTATTTTGCATACTGCACATTCTTACAGTACAATAGTAGTTCTTTTGAAATATGTTTACATTTTGGCTATAATTAAACAAAACATGTTTGGTTTCTTACAGCTCACAAGAATTAGACTATATATTTTTCACAAAACTGCGCGATGAATCGAACTCTAGATGAATCAGAAACATAAACTTACCCAAAGAGGATGCATGTTACTCCAACAGTTAATATTCCAGAATTTAGAATAAACTTTGGAGAAATGTAGCATACCTGGAATGAAGAGAAATATGATATACTTAAGTCAACTTATTAAACATAACTATTTAAAACACAATATTACTATAAAATGAAATATTTAACTAGTTCAATAGAAGCAGAATTTTATTTTAGTACATTTATGTTACTTAAAATTGCTTGCAATTTCTTTTTGTCAACTACAAAATACTGTAAAATTAAAAATAAAGAATTATTACTATGTTCTTTTAGATCTGAAGTAATTAAGTAATTGTAATCAAAATATATTGTATATCGCTTACATCATTTCTCAAAAATACCTTTTAAATTTCGCGTGAGTCTTATGAAAATTTAATTATGGTAGTAAATGCTAGAGGAAATTTCCTGATTCGTTTATGCTAGCAGGAAATTACTTTTTTACGATACCTTTTCAACATTTAGGGCTCTTTTAAGGCGGAAGTTTCATATAGAGGCATACTTTCTTTACAAAACAACATATACAACTTTGCAGATTCAGTACGAATGGACACTTTGTGGAATTTAATACTAAACCTTTATTTGTCATGAACTAATTGTATTAATTGTTCTAAGTTTAGTTGTATTAATTGTTTCTAATTGTATTAATTGTACTAAGTTTAAAAAAGTAGAAAGAAGTAAAGATATCAGGTAGTAACTAGTTTTCTTCCTTCGATCGTTATGTTACAATACTTGAAATTCTGAACTGCTCGTTATTTATTATCATTGCAATTATTTTTATTGCTAATAGTCACAGTAGTAGCAGTATTATTATTAATACTAATATTATTATTAGTGATTATCTGTACAAGATGTCCATTTGTAATAAATCGAAAATGCTTTACATTTTTGTCATTTTTTTTCATTCACTTTTTCGCATCTCGCATTATCTTTCGCATTATCTCGCATCATTTTCTCGTATCAAATCTAGCATAAATTTTCCATACCTAGTACCACCTAGACATATTTTTATAACTACATTTACAAAAGTTTAAAGTTTAAGAGAGTGACTACTGACTTTAATAAGCACATTATTCTCGTATCAAATCTAGCATAAATTTTCGATACCTAGTACCACCTAGATATATTTTTGTAACTACACCTACAGAAGTTTAAAATTTGAGAGAGTGACTACTGGCTTTAATAAGCACATTATTCCCGTATCAAATCTAGCATAAATTTTCGATACCTAGTACCACTTAGATATATTTTTATAACTACACCTACAAAAGTTTAAAATTTTAGAGAGTGACTACTGTCTTTAATAAGCACATTATTCTTGTATCAAATCTAGCATAAATTTTCGATACCTAGTACCACCTAGACATATTTTTATAGCTGCATCTACAAAAGTTTAAAATTTAAGAGAGTGACTACTGGCTTTAAGAAGCACATTAATTATACTTTATCAATAAAAAGCATATGGATGGAAAAACAAAAAACATCTGTTTCATTTCAAAAGTGTAAATAACTGTTCGAAGCTTCAAGTCAAGAAAGAAAATACATTAATCTTTGTAAAATTAATAAGGAAAATAATATTCACATAAGCGCCAAAAATAAATATCTAATAATAAGATATAAAAACTTACCAATTTTCCAAAAAGTGGAGCCGTGACAAAAATTGTCAACTGGAAAATTCCAAAAATAAAACCATACTCAGTCGGAGTGGCTCCTTTCTGCTCTGCCTACGACAATTGAATTTAAAGAATAGTTATTTTATCCATTTATTATTCATGGAATTTTGATATACTTCATGGAATTTTGATATACATAGAGAGAAGCTACTTAAATATGTAGTTATAATTATTACGTAAATTATGATGATATGAAACTGGGTAAACATTTAGGGATGTATTTTTAAAAAAAAAATTTTATTGTGATCATCAATGACATGATTGTGAACATGAAAATTATAATATGCAAACAAATTAAGTTCATCAAATTGTAGAATTTTGCAATTAGAAAAACAATTTGTAATAAAAGCGAAAAAAGTGAAAACAATGAAATAAACCGATGTCGTAGTTTTAATTTGCATGTTTAAAATGAATAACAAAATATTTTTTTAATAACTATTTATTATTTATTAACTGTCGCTAATACGCAGAATTTTATAGTTAAAAACACATTTTGTAATAAAAAGTTCGATGACTAAGAAATAAACAGATGCATATTTTTTTTTGCATGTTTTAAATAAAAATTGGCTTTCTATATATTTTAAATAAATCCTGAAATGAATATTTATTTGTTTAAAATAAATAAATAAAGTATATTTTTTGCTTATTGTTGTAAATAGGATTTTTAAGTGTATAACACGAAGCAGTTTTGGAATTTTTATTGAAATCTCTAATTAAATTAAAGAAATAAAGTACATGCGAAACATTTAGGGGTGCATTTTAGAGAAGTTTTTGTTTGTGACTGTCAATACAAAAGCAGAAAATGAATAATCAAATAAGTAATTCAAATTGTCACTAATGCATAAAATTTTTTAGTAAAAAACGTATTTAGTAATAAAAAATTTTTGAAACTAAGAAATTAATTAATGCATGCTCTTCATTTGCATTTTTTAAATAATAAACTGAAAGTCATAAATTACGAGAAATAATACGACTCATTACACTTTTTAAATTATTTTATAATATTAAAATGTTCAACCTGAAAATTTAAATGTTTCATAACAATTTATTAAAGCAATTTTGGTTAAACTATAAATTTACTAACTGAAAACGTGAATACAAAGATAGTTTTGGAGGAAATTTTAATTAATTAAATTCTTGTCTAATATGCAGGATCTAAACTACCCGAAAAGAAAAATGAAAAAAATCATTTGTAAAATTCTTGACAGTTAGAAATATCTTAGCCTTGTTGAGATATAAGGCGCTTCGTGAAATGTAATATGTATTTTTAGAATCCTTATCAAAAAATCGGGTATAGACTTAGAGAGTCGAAAATTAATATTTGATCGGGGGGAAAAAGTGCTATCGAAATCTAACAAATAGTCACAGTGCAGGAATGCGCATGTAATAAACAACAAGATAGGTTGGCAGGATACAGAGGAAATGATAGATGATTTTTAGAAACACGTCCAAGTTTCACCTCCAATTAATTAAGAAAATTTTGTCAACGAAGAGTTTTAATGTGAACCTAAGTTTCTAAATTTTTTTAAAATTGTTTTTTACGAATTAAAGCAGCTTGTAGAAATAAAAATTTAAAATTTATTGACAATGATTTACAAACATACTTATTCAAATATTTATTTATTTATTCAAAATTGCTTTGTGATTAAAATAAAAATAACTATTTTTAAGATATGAATCAGTATTATAATGCAGGTAAGTATTTATTAAATTATATTTGAGTAATTTTGAATTATGAGATCTATGAAATAAAAACCACTATTTATTTATGGAAAATAATCCGATCTGTCTGTATTGAAATATAATTCATGCAGCTCTAGTTTACATATATGCCCTTGTTTTACTAAACAATCGAAATTTATCTATAAAACTAAAATTATTCATAAAAATGAAATTTCATTTTCTCGTAAAACTCAATGTCAATCGGAAGTCGGCAATAAGGAAGTCTGCATCTGAAGGAAATGGTAATGATTACAATGAAATACTTAAACAAAAAGTGATCTTTCTTTTCCTCTCCGCACGTTGAACCGCGCGAACCTCCCTGAATAATTTTTGTTCTAATGATCGGATTTTCACGAATTATGACTCAATTTTAATGGTTCAAGGGGTTGACCTTTAATATGTTAAATAATTTGTGCAGACAATATTTTAAGTTACGAATTCAAACAAAACAACACAAATATATACTTTCTCTGAATAAAATTTTTTTTTTTAAACGGATTAGGATTTCTTGCTCTTAAAATGTAGGAGGTAGCTGCAATCTGAGAAATATGGTGCAAATATTTTGGTCTTGAGAGCGGTTCAAAGTTTGGACCCCTTAATGTTGATTTTACTTTTTGCATATTTCGCTATATCTCGAGAACTTTTTAAGCAAATTGGAAAATTTTTACACGCAATTATAAAATTCGTTTTTCCAAAGATAATTTTTGGCAATAATAATTTTTAATAATTATTTATTACCTTTTATCATCTTATTTATTAATTGTAGACAAAATTTTGAATGGCAAGGCATACAGGTTTTTGCATTGTTTTAAAGCATGTAGTTTTGAATGGCAAAATGCTAAATTTGAGCGAAATTGGTCGAATAGTTCCTGAGAAATCGAATTTCGTAAATATACGACTTTTTAAAATTCAATTTACCAGGTTCTATTCCCCTGGTTTCGCTCAAATTTCATATTTTACTACTTAAAACTGTGTACTTTAAAATAAAATAAACAATTGTATTCAAAATTTTCAAAATTTTCGACTATTATTAAATAAAATAATAAGCTATAATAAATAATTATTAAAATTATTTTTTGCATGGAATATTCCTTGAGTAAACGAATTTTATAATTATGTGCAAAAAGTTTTCAATTCTCATAAAATGTTCTTGAGATATAGCGAAACATGTGCAAAAATAAAATTCCAAACTTTGAACCGCTCCTCTGACTAAAATGTTGGGACCATATTTCCCAGATTGTGTCTAAGGGTAAGAAACCCAAATCCGTTGAAAAAAAGTATGTTTATTCAAAAAAAGTACAGTTTTGAGTCTGATATTGTGACTTTAATTATCGTCTGCACAAATTAATTACCGTATTTTAGGTTACCCCGTGAACCGTATTAAATTTGACTTGTAATTCATGAAAATCCGATCATTAGATCAAAAGATCCAATACAATAGATAGTTCGTTTTTTTTTTTTTTTTTTTTTTTTTTTTTTTTTTTTTTTTTTTTTTTTTTTTTTTTTTTTTTTTTTTTTTTTTTTTTTTTTTTTTGCAAACTGAACATTAAAATTCTTAGAGTACTAAGATTGGATCAATTTAAGCTTAGTGGATATTTTGTTTTAGATTATCATTATTATTATTATTTCCTTCAAAAAGATGTAAACTGAAACCATTTCTCTTTCATTATTTCGTCTACTTAGTAGTTAGTTTCAATCACTTTATTTTGTCTCTATTTGTGCCTAGAATTTTGTTGGAAGCTCGGTTTCTATTTTTAAAAAGAAAAGAAAATAGTAGCACTGGTGCTTCTTAATTAGAATTTATTTTACAGAAGCAAAATAGTTCTGTCTACCATAATATATTAATATTAAGAATATTTAAATTTGTATCTGAAGTCAAAGTACAGCGCTTTTTTAAAGCTAATGAAACACTATATTTACCACCAACATTATTTGAATGAAATTATTCATTAAAAAGTATTCAATACAAGATTCATAAAATTTCATCTACTTCTTGATCTGTTTAACTTATTATGGACTTCAGAAAACTATATTGCGTGCACTAAGAAAAAAAAAGTGTGGTCAAGACTTCCAGAATGTAGAAAAATTTACCGTGTTTCTGTAACCGTGTTTTTGTAAAATTTACCGTGTTACCGAAACACCAATAATTCTCACCAAAGCACTTTGGTAATGATTTTGATAAAATCAACACAATGATTTTGTAATAACAAGTGATAAAATTTTGTAATTTTATCATGAACATGGCATGAAAACCATTTATTAGGTTAAGTTTACTTTTCAGTTTCGTATTTTTTATTAAATGGATAGTAATAAGAACCATAATTTTGAAAACCAGAATTCCCGGTAAACTGTTATCATATGAACGAAAAAATTATCAAACGAATTATTTAAATACCGTATATTTTGGTTTTTAATACCAGAAATATGTTGCTTTTTTTTATCGGAAATGCTATTACTATATAGTGAGGAAATTTTACCAGTGTTTTTTTCTTCATGAGTGTTTTTTCTCTTTGCACATGGAACTCATTTTTAGTTTCAAAATTATTTAGAAAATCGGTTTCTGAACTTTTTAAATAAGATTGGACCCTATTGGAGAGAGTGATTAATTGTTTCTTTAATAAAAGAAAGAAAGAAAATCTATTCACAGTAAAGTTCAGTGAATAAAGTTAAATAGCTCTTCATTTGGTGATAAATAGTCATACATATACACGTAATTATTATTAATAAATAAATTCTAAGGAATCTCTAAAATTCCTCATAATGCGAACAATTCATTTAATTTGAAAAATACATTATATTTCTATGAGGCATATTTGAATTTACATAACAATAATGCTACACACATTTCTTTACATAATGCTTAATGTATGTGTAGATCAGATAATTCTTTATCGATGGAATAAAAATAGAAAATGTATACAGAAGACATAGATACTTATAAAATCTATTTTTGATATGACCAACATATTTATTGCTCAATAATAAAATCTGCTATTAATATAAAATCGTAAAAATAATAATTTTTGTATGGAAATGATGAAAGTACGTTAATTTTGCAAATTATTTTATGAATTGTCATTTTGCTTGAAATCCTTGCTTGCGAAACCATGAAATGGCTGCGTGTTTAAGAATTTAAAAATAAGTTAATAGTCACAAAATATGACGGATGAAGTAGTTGAATATTGTGAAAGAAGTGTTGAAACTCTTATTTAAAATGTATTTTTAAATACAAAAAAAATGGTATATAATAATTTAATTTTCTTTAATACTATTATCTTTAATACTATTCATACTATTATTTGCGAACAGAATCAATTAAAAATTACTAAATTATTGATGCGTTTTATGTTGAAGCATAAACATAAAGAAAACTTTTTTTCTAAAAAACCTGCTTACTATACATTTTTCTCTTTCTCAAATAAACATTAAATTAAAACCCCTATTAAACAAATTTTTTCAATAGATATGTATGAAGGGTACTCATTATGAAACACCCAAAGGAAATGCAAAGGTTTTCATAATTTGCATATAAAACAATGCCCAATAGCTCATAAACTATTGCTATGCAAATTGAAACTTTTACTCATAGTGATGAAAAAATCAACGAACTAAATTTTAGCTAATTCCGCCAATATTTTTGTACTGCATATATGTTTTTTTTTCTTGTGTAAAATTTCCAATTTTCATTGATGCTTATCATCTTAAAAATTTTCAACTCCCAACGTTTCTGACCAATGAGCTTTTTATTTAAACAACAAAAATTACAACATGTCTAATTTTCAAATATTTCATGAAAATAGTATAGGATCTATTGCCTTTTTGAACATTTAGCAGGAAGAGTAAAATTGAAATTGAGACGACAGCAATCATTGAAAATTTTATCATTTATGAAAGAAAGAATCCCGGTAGTAGAATAGGAAAAACAAAAATGGAAAAAAATAATAAAAAACTTAGTTACAGTTTCATGCGAATAAGAACATCACACAGTTTATTATACAGTTAAATGCTTACCTCTGATGGGAAGAAAGGAGCTTGTAAAGATACACAAGCACCAGCACAAAAGTTTCCAAAAGCTAAAGTTATCAAAGTTAACCACTGAATTGATGTATATTTTGTTTTTTTAGGTTTTAAATCATCTGATTTTTCACACTTCACTAGACTGGGATCGGGAACACTTCCATAGAAAGCATGAGCTTTCTTTATTGATTCTTGAGATTCTTTTGTCATCTTAATTTTGTCATGAAATTCCTCAGTAGATTTTAAAACCTGGAACGAAATAAAATTCTTGCAATATTTTGTATATAACTATCTGAAATCATTAAAAAAACTGATAAATCTCGAATATTACTTTTAATAAAAAGCTATTGGTTTAGATAACGAAGCATTAAAATATTTTTTTCAGCATAAATGATGCACAATTTTTAGCCACATTGTTGAAATAATAATGCGTTATAGATGAATTGTTTAAAATGATTGTTCAGAAAAATTTAAACCATATTTTATAAAATCTCAAACAACTTATTATATCTTAGACTTCCAAAAATTAAAACATTTTTTGCCCAAAAATTTGTTAAAAAATGTATCTTAACAAAAGTTTATTTAAAACTGAAAAAAAAAATTCCTTTTTATTGCATTATTTATTTTTTTTAAGTTTCATTTATTTATTTATTTTGACAAAAAATATTAGGACAGACTGAAAATTTCGTATTTTAATAGAATATAGAAAATAAATTATAAAATTAATGGAAAAAATAAAAGCGTAATTAATTAGCAATAAAAATTATAGGAAAAATCAAAATTATGAAAAGTGATCAGAACTTAATTATAATTTTAAAATTTAAGTCATTAAAATTTACCTTGGGAAGATTAAGTAACTTCATTTTAATTAAATTGATAAACAACGCTTAAACCTACACGAAAACGCTTAAAACTTATCAACGCTTAACCAACTTCTAATAGCAATACAAATGTTGAAATAAAAAAAATCGACTTCTTGGTTTGCAAAATTTTTTAGAAATGTAGTATTCATTTGTTTATTTAATGCTTAAGAAAATTTTATCTATTATAAGAGGGAAAGGAATGAACTAGAATTTTAAGAAATGCTTGATAGAAAGAGGCGCAAACAACTTTCTTATTGTTTCTTGAAAAATTTCTTATCTCAAATGAAATTATAAGTATGCCCTATTGTTTTTAAGTCTAGGTTCAAGTTATTGTGAATAAAACTTTTCTTACTGCACTCTTAAAATTGATAAGATGTAGCTGAAGTTTTTGTTCTCCATTTACGTGTTTGATAACATTAAAGGTTCATATGCGACGCGTAATGAAAAAGAAAATAACAAAACGCAAAAAATAGTCTATTACAACATTACGCACTTGAAATATCTTATTCCCTTTAAAATATATTTTTAAATAAATGTTTTCAACCTATAAAAATTATATAACAGTTAGATAGTTGCAAATGTCCAGTACACAATGCAAAATTAGCTATCTTTAATACTTTAATGGATTCAGTACTTTATTGATCATTATAAAATCTTAACCAGTATAATCGTAATTAATATTTGAAAACGATAAACGTGATTTATGCCGATTATAATACAGATAATTCCTGAAGGAATAATGAAAAAGAAAATAATGCGTCTTAAATGATAATATATTTTTTGACATCAATACGCACTTGAAATACCATACTAGTTTAAAGCAATTGTTTAAACAAATATTTTGACAATTTTAGAACCTATAAAATGTTTATTATAGTTTGTGATTACAGATATAGTTTATGATTGCAGATATCTAGTGCGCAAGGTTAAGTTAGTTAGTTAATTTTGATGTTTTTATGAATACACCACGTAATTCATGATAGCAGAGCGCTTCATTCATCACGGAATCATAATTAGCAGAATCTTTCATTATTTTTATACACAGTCATAAAAAAAAAACTTTTATTTCAATGAGCTATGTTTCAATAAGCTTTGTTGAGCTGTTTTCAGAGAAATGTCACCAAGTGTTATATAAAATTTTGATATTGAACAAATTTTTTTTCCATAGATTTTATGGCTCTAAGTTGGTTGAAATATGGTATTTATTTTGAGTTTCTTTATATGTGGTTTCAAACATAACAGAGAGAAAAAGATTTCACTGAAGTTTTGGTAACGGATTTGGAAAACACATGCATCTTTCGTCAATGGACGTTAAATTGAAATCCTATGTCAGCCAAGGCTTTAATTTTATAGTTTTTTCCCTGCTTTTTTTCCAATTTGTGTTGATTCTCTGATTAAATTCGGGGAACCGGAAATGCAGACTAAATTAGTCTGATAAGAATTTATAATCCTTTTCTTATTTTGCCAGTAAAAAATTTAAAATCGAGGTAAACTCGGTTGGAGCAAGAGGTTTAATGCAATATCTTGTTTTTTTTTTACTAATGAAATTAATAATGCGTTTGATCTTTAAAGATATCAAACAATGTCATTCAACGGCAGCCGATAAGAAACGATAATTTGTTGCTAAAGTCTTAAGTTTGTGCTAAACCAGTTTTCATCAGAATCATTCGGAGTTATAATAGATGAGATATGCGTTTCAAAATCGAGATATAATGGGAATTATCCAGATAGTTCTCGAAACGCTGCGTGAAATTTTATTTTCATTTCGAGCAGATTATTGTTCAAACAAAGGATCTGATCATTGCCATAAATTGTATACTAATGTGAATCCATACTATACAGATATGATATATTTCCTTATCTTGAAAAACTTTTAGAGAAAAAATCCTTATTATTTAATCCTTTTATTTCCTTATATGTAAGAAACTTTTTAAATGATCAAAAAATTTAAGAAAGAAAAATCCGTTAGAAAAAAATACAGCAAAAAAGTTAAAATTGGAGAATAATATTAAATTGCTAGGCAAAATATTGCAAGCATATCATTTTTCCAAAAAAATTTTGTTTACCATTCATTTAAACAGGTAATCTTTTGAGCGACATAATCGCATTCCTTTTCACTTTGAAATTGGGACATCACGATTGCTGAAATCTTTATTTTTCTTATTTTATTTATTTATTTATTTATTATATGTTGTAGGCAGCTTTAAAATGCTTTTTCTTTTGGATAAATAAGTTACAAATGATTCAACTAGTCTCAAAATAAATAACTTACACGTATCCAGCTCATCAAAATCAATAAAAAAAAAGATTTTTTTTTTGCTTAACATAAAGATTTTGTTACCCTTGGTGTTATTTCCTTGTCAGAGGCAGTTTTAATCTTTCTAGATTCAAACCTTAAATTTGCTAAGTAATCAGTGAGGACGAAAATTTAAAATAAAAATACAAATTGTTTAGAACTGGAAAAATAATTGAATGTTTGAAGCCCTTAATGTTATTCCTACTTTTTACGTATTTCGCCATATTTCTGAAACTAACTGAGCAAATCACAAAATTTCTGCACCTATTTATAATGTTTGTTTAACCAAAAACAATTTCAAACTAAAAATAATTTTGAAGAATTATTTACCATTGCGCTGAGTTGAGATAAAGGATTGATTCCTTTCTTAAAACATCGTTTCACTTGTAATGCTCAGTTTTTCTCAAAGGATCAATCTCAGACAGTCAATAGCGAAACATTTTTGACAAATTTTGTGTTCGTTTTTGTCTATTTTTGAGGTGAAAAGATGTCCAAGCCGTTACTCGCTCCAGAACTAGAACTAGAACTCGCTCCTAACCACTTCGATACCACTCATATTTTACATTTCTTTTTAACATTCCAACTTCTTTGGAATATCTTAGCACATTTAAACAAAACATAATGATATAACGTGTTGTCTAAAATCTATAATGCGGCAAAAAAACGTTAAATACATCCTCATATTTCTCACTCTGGAAATATGAAGTAACAATAACCTATTTAAAATTTGCGGTTACCTCTAAAGTTTCATTGGAACATTTTACTTTAAATAAATTTCAAAAAATGGCTAATAATAATTTAAATCTATTTGACAACCATAATTCGCTTTACATTATAGACTAAAATTAATAAAAATATTTTAAATGTCTTACACTATTGTAGTACTCCATCATAGATGCTTTCATCTAGAACAAAAGTCCAAACTGATTGAAGATACGCAAATCGTAATACAGCTGCTTGTATTCCTCCACTTTTAAAATATTTTATTGAGAATATTATTGGTTTTTTATTTGCAGTAAATTTTACATTTTCAGATTTATCTTTCGCACTTGCACGCGCATTCAAAACAAAATGTCACTAATGCTGCAAATTAAACCTGGCCAGAACAATGAGTTCACACAAAATTTTTAATGTGTCTACCTCAAGCAGTATAAATAGAACAAGCTGGAGCAACTTTAAATATTAAATTAATTGCCGTCACCGAGTTGAAATTACATAGGTAGTGGTTTTATTAATACACGTGCTCCTGTTTAAATTATACGTAAAAGTAAGCAGGTATAAAGCGTTATTTTATCAAAACAAAAATAACAACGATTATAACAAAAATAATATAATTAAATAATAACAAGTAAAAAAAAAAAATTATGATTTTCGCTTAAAAAAATTTGCAAAGGGCACTGAAAAAACGTTTGCTCAAAATTACTAGAATATGGTAAATTTTACCGTGTGTCTGGCTCATCCACTGGACACCAAAAAACTCTGTAATTCTTACCGAAGCGCTTTGGTAATGATTTTGATTAAATTAACAATAAAATGAATTTTTGTAATACGTGCTAAAGTTCAATAAACATTTTAAAATTTGGTAATTTTATCATGATATCTTAAAACATGGCAAAAAATCACTTATTTAGTTAAATTTACTTTTTAGTTTTGTACTTTTTAATAAATGTGTGGTAATAAGAACTATAATTTTGAAAACCAGAATTTCCCGTAAATGATTACCATTTGAACGGAAAATTACTAAATGAATGGTTTAAATACCATATATTTTGGTTTTATTAACAAGAATTATGTTCTTTTTTTTTCTTTTTTTTTACCAGAATTGCCATTACCTTATAGTACTGTCATTACACCAGAATTTGTTTCTCCGTGTGTATAAACATCACTTTTAAATAAGTATACAACTTTTAAAGTATAAATCAGTTTTTAAGTTTTAAACGAAAAAAGGTTTAAACAGTATTTCGCAGAAGTAAAAGACTTGAAGTTCTAAACAAAAGGTTTTTAAATGTTTTAACTTTTTATGCTTTTAATGATGAAAGGCGCATAACGTATTATATGTTTGCTCAACTATAAAATTTTTCATTTAGCGTAATTGAAATTTTAATAAATGCATAGAAAATATTTCTTCCACAAACAAATTAGGAAAAATGAATTTCACAGATAAATTTTTTAAAAATTTCATATTATTCATATATTTAATACAAAATTAAATTCTTTAGGAAATGTATTTTTATGAAACTGCAACAAATGAAGCTTTTAATTTCCTAATTTCTACTTTATAGTCATAGTGAAAAATGAAATTGATTTCATTATTTAGTAAAATATTATTCATTTAACAAATTATAAAACATAGCTTAAGATAAGATTAGATTTTAAAAGCAAATTTTATTCAAAAATATGATTTTTGATTACATTTTTGGAAACCACGAGGGAAAAAAATCTTTTGTCACTGGCCGGAATTTCTCCATTTAATGAAAAATTTTGACTTCGAAATTTCTGCTAGTAATAGCGTTATTAAGTTTCTTTTTATTGCAAAATCTTAATTTTCCGCTGCCTTATCATATTATGAATGCGTAGAAAATTATCTGTTTCTGTTACTCAGTTCCTGCAATTTTAACTTTTTATAATCATTCGAAATATCTGTTTTTCATCATATTTAGCTCTGTATTTTTAATTCCTCATCAAAAATACATTGTTTCTAATAATATATTTCTGTTTTGATAGTAAAAGTTTTAGAAAAATTTTTAAAAAAAATAGAGATATAGAAAACTCTTCTGCTACTTTTTTTTCTCGACTGAAACTTAAGGAATGAAACGAAAACGAAAAAATTCCAATAAAAATTTGCAGAAGGAATAGATGTATGGATAAATATTTTTCCAGTCTTAATCGTACTTTTAAACTGGCTTGCTGGTAGTTGATCGAAAATAATTTAGGTTTATTTGCTTAAACTTACCTTGCAGATAAAAGTGCTTTTGATCAAAAAAATAAAAATAAAAAATAACTAGAAAATATATTTGACCGAGAAAAAAAAAGTACGTTTAAAACTACCTGAAAACGGTAAAATTTTCCTTTGCTTCTAGTTCTGTGTGTTCTTGTTCTATGTGAACACCTAAAATCACAGTAATTTTTACCGAAGCGCTTTGATAATGATTGTGGTAAAATATAGAGTAAAATATGGCTTTATAATTTGTGATAAAATTTGAAAATGGTTGTAAAATTTGGTAAACGAGGTCAAATTTTTTAATTTTTTCATGTAGCGTCAGATCATGGCATGAAAACCATTTATTCGGTTAAATTTACTTTTCAGTTTTGCTTTTTCTACTTAATACGTGCTAATAAGAACTATAATTTTGAAAACCAGAATTTCTGGTAAAACGTTACCATATAAACGAAAAAATTATCAAATAAATGCTTTAAATACCATGCATTTTAGTTTCATCACTAGAACTATATTTTTTTTTTTAACCAGGAATGTATTTTAATAGGAATGTATTTTATAGAATTTTTTTCTCCGAGTTCCCTACTTGAATTAACTGAATTTGGAATTCTATTCTCTAGAATTCGTTAACTGGGAGTGAAGGATATTGATAAGGTCCACTTAATATTCTTTTTAATATTATTTCTCATGAAAAATAAACAACGTAATTAACTGAACCCATGTGATTATATGCAATTGTCGTTTACCAATAGTATTTATCCAAGAACCTTGGAAACCCGACAATTAAACTAAGTGCCAATTCATCAACCAAACATTTGATTGAAATGAGGCAAACACAGAACATTTCAACCATTTTGCTCGCAAATTATTTGTAGCCTATAGTTTTTTAGACTTTCATTCCAAAATAAGTTTGAAGCGCTTCATATTATCACAAAATTCTATTCAAAATGTAGTTTTTTTTTCCTCATTTAATTTTTTTATACTATTTATTATTCTTTAAAGAATGCTTTTAAAGGTATTTTTACTCCCAGAAAATGCTACTTTTCATTTTAGGGGGTTATTAGGAGAGGTTTTATTACTGTAGTAAGAATTCGTTTTAAAGGGCTCGCTGCTTTGTTTGAGTTGGAAACCACTGCTCTAAATGCTACTTATCCAATTATTTTAGCCTATCTAATCACGTTTAGAATTAGTACTTAGAATTTCCTAGAACTTGACGCTTTTGTCCGCATAGATAAAAGAATTCTGAGAACCTTACCAAACCTTTCAAACAATAGTTCCTAAGGGATCTATGAAACTATGAACTATAAAATTGCATTATTTACTATACACTTTTGATAAATATTGAAAGTTTTTGTCTCATTATTTTTAACATAAGGGAAGTTTTTAAAAAACAAGTACTTTCAGTTTTAAGTTTTTTTCACAAAGAGTGTATAATGTAATACTGAAACAGCTATTACATAACACTTTTTTAAGTTAACCAAAATAACTAAATGTATTTCTACATTTTTTAATTTAGCGTTTAATTGTTAATCAACCAAGGAAAATATTTCTGAAAAAGAATTATCTTTATGATGAAATGTACGAAAAAAGTATGAATGACTTACTTACCTAAAAGTGTGCAATTTGGTAATGTTATAAGCTTTGCACAGAAAAATTACATTTTACTTTTTCAAAAATTCTATTCAAAATATGCTATAACTTTATGAAAAATTTTATTGACTTAATACAGTAGGATTCTGAAGAATATATACTGCATAATATAAACCGCGTAATGAGAGTGAATAAAATGCTTGAATATAAAAAATAGTATTTGAAATATTACGACCCCCTTAAATGTATAGGGAAGTTTAAAGTTAATACACATTTTAAAAGCAAATAGTATAATTTGCTTATAAATACAAATATAATGAACTATTAGTAAATAATCTTTCAGAGACTTGGGTACGGATTTGTGACATATATTGAAATTTAATCGTTCAAAATGCATAATCGTGAATTGAAACTTATATTATCTCCGTCAAATATTTAACTGTCAAGTATTTAATGTATAGCAAAAGTTTAAAAAAAGACAGTGCTTGTTTAGATACATGTTTTAGATCTAGAATTATAATATGTTTGGAATAATAATATGCATAATATAAAAATAATAAAATCTAGAACTTAATTCGAGTAGTGTAAACTAAAGTTAGTAAGATTTATAAAGAATTTTGTCTCAAATTATTAGTAAGACATAGCATATTTATTAAATAATGAAAATAATTACCTTACTTCTTACTGTGTGTTATACTTTTAACTTTCCGAAAATTATCTTGTTTTTATGTGTTAAAACTTATCCAGCAATCGCCCCCAAACTAAGGAGATTAAAAACAGTCGACCAATTGCCGCTCTTTATTATTTTAACTTAAGTCTATTTTTACTAGCATCTCAAGTAATCGTGAAAATATCTAATCAGTTTTAAAACATTTACTCAAATTAACTTATTATCTTATTTACTTCGTGAATTTTGAGACAAAGCCTTATGATTTAGATCATTTAAAAATAGACAATTCAGCAAAGTCCAAATGAAGAAAAAAAGCGGCAAAATTACGCTACAAAAATCAAAATATTTATCAAACTTTAACCTTGATAAGCTTGAAAGAATAGTAAAGAAAAGACAATATCGCTCAATTCTTATTACTAGTCACGTGTTGCCTTTTGTTCAATCAGATCGATCTCCATGTGTTTGCTTATTTATGGAAGTATAAATGAGAGTAAAACGGCTTAAAATTAATTGAGTAAGCTCACACGTTGAATCCGAATCACGTTGATTTTTTTCCATTTAACTAAAAGGCTCTGGTTCCTTCTGATTAACCGATCGCCGTAACTTAAGCTCTTTTCATATCATTTCGTGATTTGAGCTCCTTTTTTTGTCACTTCATCTTTGTCTTATGTTTTACTTTCACTTTAATTTACTTTACACTCAAGGATGTGTATCCTGAATTATAGAACTTTAACTACTTTTCAGTTTATCTTAGTCTTATTTAATCTTTCTTATCTTAGCTCTTGTACTTAAAAATATTTTATACTTTAAAATATTTTGCTCTTTAAATATAAATGTAAAGGAGGCTCTTCCCCTGTTCGTTATTGCTCGCCAGTCCATGGAACTGATTAAAAAGTTCTTCTCAGATTGCTTC